TTCTATTCTTTTTGTTTTCCTCCTTTGCATCCCCTAAACGTATTCTCCTTATCCTTTTTATAGAGAAATCATTCCTCCTCGGTTCTACTTCTAAAAAATCTTGTTCTTGTCTCTAATTTTTCAGCACCTCAAACCTATTGTACTTCTCCTAGGGCTTATTAATCTTTTTGGCCCTTCATTTTCTCTGTTTCTTTGGGGATTCTCTTCCCTCATTATTTCTCCTATGTTTAGATCTTAGTACTTATGGCACATTGGGAGAATTTTTATCTATGGTGAGCACAGCTGTGCTGCACAGGAATGGTCCTAACGTCATTATAGAGACTATGATTTTTATTTGGAAAGGAACAGAGGATTTTACAAGGTTTAAAAAAAAATTTTTTTTGAATATTCACCATCTCCCACCACTCAGACTTCGTTTGGCCTAAATCGGCCAATGTCATCTGGTCGTGAAAGAATTCCATGAAGGCTTGCTGAACCCTCTGTTCCACCAGGAGGTCTGAATTTAGCCGCCAAATCCCTCTACCTTTAGGTGGGGTACTATGGACGTTCAACTCGCAAGATAAATGTGATGGTCGGAGAACTCCACCGGCGTAAGCACGGGTGCCACCACTGGGAAATTCTCCTTAAAGAAAAACCTATCTATCCTACTCTGAAAGCTACCTCGGTGATACGTGTACCCACCCGTGGGATTGGGAGTGTGGTGAAGGTACACATCGACCAATCCAGCCTGACTAACCATCTTGTTTAGAAAAATGGAGTCATACCCCAGCCTCTGAATGGCGCCTCTCTTGTCTTGAGGCCTAGTAATGGTGTTGAAATTACCGCCAAACAGGAGTTGCTGGGATGTATATAGGTAAGGCTCTATCTCACTAAACAGGCGCTGTGACGGAACGCTGGCACTCCGACTGAGTACCTCCGCCAATCGATGCTCCTAGTGCTTGCCGAGGACTCCAAGCACTCCAACCGACACCATCAGCACTGCAGACCCCACTTCCAGCGATGCAACTGCGCTGGGGTCTCCACCCACCCTGGACCCAAGGCCAGGATCCAGCTTCCAGTGGGTGAACCTTTCTTTCCCCAGAGAGCAGGAACAAGCTCTTAGCAGAACTTAGTGATCATACCCTGGGGAGTATAGTGAGTGTAGGTATCCCTTCCCCCAAACATGAGCCAAAGCTTAATGCTGGAACAAGACTGATTTACTGGCACACAGAATTCACAATTTATGCAACACAAAACTCCTCCTCTGGGCCAGGCTAGATAATTGAGTTTCTACAATACACAAAGCTCAATTATCTGCTGGCCAGAAATAATACAGTTTCATAAAACACACAGGGACCCCAAAACATGCAATAACCCCATAAAAAGTATATCCTTGGAACCGGGGGATCTGGGTGAACCACATATCCAAAATTCACCCAGATCCGTTCAGTACTTTGGAAAATACAGTTTAATGCAGATTCTGCAGAACATATACAGGCTAAATGAAAAACAATCACTTTATAATGTGTCCCCTGCTGTATAGTCCAAAACCACTGCACGATGTCTCTGTGCACCAAATACTGGCAAGATGGCACCGTGTTGAAAAGTCCAAACAGTGTCTGTGAGTTAAAATGGCCACCATCCATTGTTCTCACCATGTGCTTCTGATACAGGAAATGGTGGCCACCCAGTAACTCCACAGTATGGTCCCAGATGGTTCTTAAAGGGCCAGCAGCAGCACAACACAAATCCATTATTCCCAAATCATGTCTTTAAAGGGCAATACATCCCAGGGGCCATAGTCACAGGGCAAGAGGCGGGCAAGCAGTCCTCTCCAGGCACAAGTGGCGAAGGGCACTTCGTCACAGGCGCTTCCTCTCCCACTTGGTTTGGGGGCCATAGATGTTAATGATTCTGAGAGGTTGCCTGCCCAGTGACACATCCATAACCACACAACGTCCTTTCTACAACTCAATAACCCTGTTGATGTAAACATTAACTTCCTTAAATAGGATGGCAATTCCCCCATATCTCTCTGTGGCTAGAGAGAAGTAGGAGGGCCTCCATCTCCAGTCCCGCTTTGCAGCGTGCAGGGCCGCAAGGGTTTCCAGCCGGGTCTCCTGTACTAAGATGACATTGTACGGAGCCCGGCTGAGGTGGTCATAAACCAGAAAGCGGGCCCTGCTGGACATAATGCTGTTAACATTCACCGTAGCTACAGAGAGTACAGGAAATGTCGCCATAAGGGTATTAAGCATAAGGAGATTTTCCCTTCCTTCTATGATCCCCCTCCTCCTCCTTGTCGGAGCAGTAGTACCTTTTCACTGAGACTCCGGGATACAGCGGCCCGTCGTCTCTCAGAGGCACCTCCTGTCTGACCTCAACCTCTGCCCCCACCCCGGGGAGGTTCGCCATCTCCTCCTCGAGCTCAGTGGGCCCAGCTGGAAGACAGTGCCTCGTACCTGTTAGATACGGGTACTGGGGCCTCCTGCAAGCACGAAGAGGAGGAAGACCCCTTTGCCTTACCACCCTTAGAAGTGGCGTCCCCCCCTTTCGGGGGTTTCGCCGCAGGGGGTTCGTGGTCGTCTGGGGCGCGGGCAGCACCGAGGCCTTGGAGGGAGGAGGATGCTTTCACTTCCTCACCGTGCTCCACTCTAGGGACTGTGCATCTAGGGACCGTGCATCTAAGGACTTTCCAGTGGGGATAACCTTCACCGTGGAGGGTTTAGGAGGGGGGGGCCTAGGGGGAGCCATAATGGCTGTGGAGGACGTGTTAATTCTATTTACACTTTTCGTGAGGGGACGTGAACTTGTTGCCACCCCAGGGTCTCAAGATGGTACTGAGACCGAGGGGAGGATGGGCTGTTGCTGGGGCAGGGAGACCCCTGTGCCAGAAATGGGCACCGTAGATGACTTCGCTACCTGAACCCTTAACCCAGCAGAGTCCACCTCCTCCATCTCCACCGGCTCCTGACTCCAGATGGACTCTACGTTATGCTGGGCTTCGGGGCAGGTGCAGTACGTATGTCCCATCCCTGAACACAGGTGGCACCAGATCTCCCCGCAGGTGTCCCGGAGGTGCGCCGCACATAGTGCACTTCAGGACCGTACAGGCATTACTGAATTTTAACATCCCCAAACCTCTTGGTCCATATGAGTATATCCGCTATGGGGATGGACTCATTCCTCACCAGGAAGGTAACCTTCTTAAGACCCTGGCGAGAAATGGCCACAGTGGAGAATCCTGCCCACTTTGAGCCCTGTGCAGACCTGGCCGCCTCCCATCCAGCCCAGAAGCAATCCAGGAGCTGCGACGTCATAAAGGAGACGTCGAACTCCCGGGTGCCCGAGGCATGGATGAGCGCGTACAGTTCCACGGACGCAAACCTCATATACTTAAGACGAGTCACCAGCCACCTTCTGTCAGGCACCTGGGTCTCACCCCCACAGACGAGCCGTACTACGTTCCTCCTGTTCCCAAAGGAAACCTGAGGACGCGCAGCAGGCCTGCCCGCCGAGAGGCGAGGTGGCCCAGATGCCCAAGCATTAGGCACGCTGGGACCCGTCACCTGGGAAGGGGTGGGGCGGACTCCCCCCGCAGGACCAGTAGAGGCCTCGGTCACACCGGGACCTGGGGCGGCAACCTGGGAGTGCCTAAGGGGTTCCTGTGTACCTACTTGTGCACCTAAACTATTTACAACCTTGGCACCCTTTGCCAGGGTGCCAGTGCCTGTGCTCGTGCCCACCACCTGTGCACCCATGTAACCAGTGGAGGGGGCAACTGTACCGTGGGAGGGGAACCGTACCGTGGGGGGGGGCAACATTACTGTGGGGGGCACCAGTACAGGGAGGGGGAGCAACAGTATCAGGGGGAGGAGTCATGAACTTGGCTGTGGACCTGTTTGATTAGGTCAGTGGGTCCCATTAAAGCAGCAACATTTGTATTACTGCACTCACCCCATCACCCCCAGCCATCTCCAAACCACCAGTGGAGCCACACAGAAGGTGAGCAGTGCAATTCTTACCTCCACTGGTGGTTCTCTCAACAGGAACTGCTGGCAGACTGGCCAGGGTGTCTGCTTGCCCTTTGGCAAGTGGGCCTGTGATGAAGTTGGCCCTTTTTAAAGGTCATTTTTAAAATATTGTTTAATGCAGCAGCAGGGAAAAAGGGGCAGCTGGGGGCCCAACAATCTCTGAAAGTATCATGCGTTAATTTATTACACTGTGACAATCGGCATAGTATTGGACTTGCCCTGTGCTTGTAACGTGACCATGATGGGTCATACAGACATGGAGTCAGGCTAGGGTCATACCGCAATGGAGGAAAGGCCATGTTGACAGTCTCCTCCTAGTCAGTGCAACCGGTGCATGTCAGTCACAAGCTGTGACCGTTTTCCTTTGTAAGGTGTCCCCACAAGCCACAGCTCAGCCTCAAAATGTACAGCCACATATACAGTCCCCCCCCAGCCATATAAATGTATTGTTATATAAATCATCGTACAGTGCCCCCAGGCTGTATACCTGATGGGTGGTACTGTATAAAACTTTGTATAACTATATGGCAGGGTTGAGCCCTGTATAGGTATACAGGATGCCCCCCAGCCATATTTTATCATACAAATTTTCATACCCCCATCCAGGTATGTAGGGCCACTCGGACATATAATTTTATTATTCTAAATCACACAGCACTCCCCAGTGATATAATTGTATTATATATAATCATCATAAAGCACCCAACATCCAGGTATACCACCCGGGGGCACTGTATGATTTGTAGAATACATTTATATGGCTAGGAGGCTTGAATAGCTGGATGGGAGGGGGTGCTGTATGATTTATACATGTCTGGGAGGGCTGTATACCTAAATGAGGTGTGCTGTATAATTTATATAATATATGACTGGAGGGGCTGTATATCTGGATGGGGGAAACTCTGGATGGTGTGTGATTTATAAAATACAGATATATTGCTGGAACGACCGTATACTTAATTATATGGCTGGGGGTGAGCCATGTATAGGTATACAGGGTGCCCCCCAGCCATATCATTTTATTACGTTATAAACCATATATTTGTATATTATATAATGTAAAATGAGATGGCTGGGGGGCCTGTATACTCATGCAGCCCCCTCCCCTGCTATCTTATATTATACAAATCATCCTACAGCACCCCCAGTCATATAATTATATATTTATAGAAATTTATAAGAGGTGGTCATATAAGTGAGGGAATGGGATGTTACAGATATTAGAGACTGTGTATGCATGTGGAAAAATAAGATCAATGGTATTGCTAGCTACATGCGTGGGGAACATTAGCCCACTACAATAGCCTGAGGGAGAAAGTAACAAAGAAGTTTTGAGGCTAATAAGATCAAGGGTGGGTTAAGGGTAATGTTGAAGCCTTACAAGAATTAGGGATGGAATATTGGAGGAAAGAAAGTAAGGATGCCTTGCAGCAAAATCATAGAGGAAGAGAAAGGGGGGGTTATAAATACTAGCAGTGTTTGAAAAGATGGGTTTGAACAGGTTAATATAGTTCAAATTATGAAAGAGGGGAGGGGTAGAGGTTTGAAGGAGCAGTGGGGTGAAAGCAGAAACCTTATACTGACACCTTTACTGTCAGAATGCCATGGGTTGGAAGTAGCAGTGTCAGTGGGAGCGAGACATGTTTAGGGAATAAAATGTCATGGACAGCAGTTGATGGAGTGATGTTGCACACCAGAGGGTAGTGCCAAAGGAGGACTTAGAGTTTCATGTGATGATTACAAGACTCGTGTGGTTTCTAGTGTTAGAATAAGGTAGATTTGTGGACGAGGGTTTGGAGAGCTCACTGGCTGCCAGGAGTAGAAGGGTAGAAAGGAAGGTGGGAGTAAAATTTAAATGTTTGTGGTGAGAAAGGGCCGATATGTATGAGCAAAGTGAATGGGGTGAACAGAGGAGGGAAGTAAAATGGGGATGATGAATATGGTGTAAGTAGGTAAGTCAAATAAAATGACAATTAGATAGGAGTTTCTATTATAAAGGAAATTAAATGAGAAATTAAAGCCATAGGAGAGAGGAGGGGGTGAGGGTTAAAAGGCAAGCAGTATGGGGATTGAGCAGGCGAGGAGAGGTTGATGGCCATTATCAGTGTTTTGAAAAACTAGGTCATTTGTAATGCCTATAAATGTAGTGTGTACTCTAGGGTGGGAATTCTTCCAGAAATGCTATCTCTGCGTATGGCTCTAGTTGCAAGACTTTAGCTGTAAGTCTTGAGTTCAAACTTGTGTTCTGCTGTTTGGGACACAGACTGGATATGCTTTTTGTAATGCAATTCAGAAATAGACTTAAGATTTTACCATAATTCTTTACCATTTTATACCACTAAACCACTCTTTACAAGCTATACTTAATTGTACATTTTATGGTGAGCACATTTTAAGACTTCCATCCCAAATCCTTTTTTACACTTCTTACTCTGAGCATCAAGCATACCAAATCCACTTTGAAAACTTTACATAAGAGAACCGTATGTATTTATATATAGACTTATATATGGTGTTTTATACACTAAATACCTTCAGATCAATGTGCATCAATCTTTTTAAAAATATTTTCAAAGTGAACGGTCCTTTAGTGAAGTGTATATTTTCATAAGTTGCAGAAATTATTCAAATTTGAATAACCTATCACCTGATATTATGCAGGATCTTCTTGGGGGACAACACTGACTTCATTAAGATCCATGTATGAGGCTGTCTCCAGAGTTTGAAGACACTGGCAGATTGGGGCTATTTGAGCACACTGCAACTTTTCTCCACCCTGGTCATTCATTCCATATGACAAAGCTATATATCTATATATGGCTATAAATGGGCTATATTCATACTGTCTTACTTCAAGAGGTTCTGCCGATCTACACATATTGAGATGTGCATTGTATGAATGCTCCATAATGTTTCAATCTACGCACGTGTTTACTGTTTTCATGCATTATCTACAAAGGTTGGGTTTTCATAAGCTGTAAGATGTCTCCCTTTTAATCGACCTTTCTATATATGATTTTTTTTTTTTATGACCGCACCATAACCAGCCACTTTATAATTCCTGAAAGTATAATGTTGACCTTGTTACTGTTGTTGTGGCATTGTTGATCTGATTCCATATGGCATTTGACAGCTCACAATTGTTTTTTACAGTATGCTAAGCCTCTGCATCAGCAAGTTTATTTCTAATGTCATCTATGTAATGAGCTTAACTTTACATTATGCTCAAAATAAAAAACTATTTTTAAAAAGTCTATCTTGCTCAAAATTATCAATATGTTTTGAGAATGTATCTGAAGGTCACAATTTTTATTTATAAAACCTGTGGTGGCTTAATTTTCAGTCTTTTATTTTTTTACGGCATTTCTTCTGTACACCGGAGTTACTCTTTTGGAATAAACAAAGGTAATTGAGAAATTCAACATAAATATTATTTGCTTTTGATCTTGGTCATGTTTCTTAAACATGTTTTTCAGAAAAGTGTAAATCCCAAATCACAATGGGTGTGTTTTGTTTAAAGGACCACTATAGTGCCAGGAAAACATACTTTTTCCTGGCACTATAGTGCCCTGAGGGTGCCCCCGCCCGGCTCTGGAAAGGGGAAAAGGGGTAAAACTTACCTGTTTCCAGCGCTGGGCGGGGAGCTCTCCTCCTCCTCCTCTCCACCTCCGATCCGCCCAGTCGGCTGAATGCGCACACGCGGCAAGAGCTGCGCACGCATTCAGCCGATCGCATAGGAAAGCATTATCGAAGTGGTCTGGGTGCCTAGAGTGGTCCTTTAATACAATTTTATCTATAACTGAATTGAACATTTTAAATAAAAGGAAAAAAAAATTAGAGTCAAATTTTAATCAGATTTTTAATATAAAATAAGTGGAACTCATAATTTAGAATAAGAGTAATATTAAAAGAAAAGGCTATGTCAACTAATATATTATCAAATGTTATGTTTCATTTGAAAAGTGAAACGTATAAGGAAATGTCATTTTAAATGACCACTATATTGCCAGGAAAACAAACTCGTTTTCCTGGCACTATAGTGTTAATAGGTCCCCCCCACTCTCAGGGTCCCCCTCCAGTGCCGGGCTCCCTCGGCGCTGGGGACTCTCCTCCCTCATTGAGCTGAAGTGGTTCTTTAAGTCAACTTTCTGCGAAAACTACTTTTCCATTTAGTAGATTTCACTATTTGCAAAACAATTCAGTTGTAAAAGGCTTAAGTATTTAGCAAATCTTGTAAAAAATAAAAAAATTCCCCATGCACTTAAAAATCTAACTTTCAAGTGAGGCTTATTGGTTTTTAAACAACTTGTCTTTACTTAATATATCTACATAAAAGCATACAATTGTTATATGCCTTAATTTTAGTGTGTGTGTGTCTATATATTCTCATAGATTTGTATGTACTTTAATCTTACGCTTTCACAAATTTATAGAATTTTATGACTTCATTCAGCAAAAACACAATTTGAAGGTTTTGATAGTGGATTTTGTACAGTTGTTTTTTGTTTTTTTCATACCAATACTACTTAAAAATCTGTTGCATTATGTGATGTTCAAAACATCTCTTTTATACAGAGCTAACCAACTATCTACAACAGTGTGTAAATCAGGGATGTTATATTCAATGTCATATTCAAAACAGAAAGGAGTTAAAAATGTGTAATTTTAAATTAGTATTTTATGTTAGAAGGGAAAGATATTCCATCTTTCAAATTTATAATCCATCTTTACTGGCGTATTTACGGTTTTGATCAGATACCAAATAAATATATTGATAGTTTTGAGCAAGATCCATTTTAGAGACTAAATTTGAAAATAGAGCCACCGCAGGTTTTATTAAAAAAAAAAGCACATTTAAGACTCAGTGTTGCATTGTAACACAAACATTAACACTTGACTTTTGATCCTAGCCAGGTCTTTGAACACCAGATACACTCCATTGTAAGTCAAAAATACAATTAGAAAAATGCTTGTTTTAATTATTGAATACATGTCAGTAATTGGAGCTTGTATATTAATTGTGTTAAAATGCAACATACTTTGAACTAGAAACACCTAGTGTTAAAAATGTGATTTATGCTTGTTTGGTCCTTCACCATAAAACATACCTCATTACAAAAAATAACAAATTCAAATGTATTTGCATTATGTTTGTGATCAAACAAAATGATCCATTGATGTAACATGCAAAACTAATACATATCAGGAAATAGCTCAGAGACATTCCATTGAACCTTTTTGTTTTTTAAGAAAAATAACAAATTCAATGTGCCTCAGGTGATATGATTTAAAACTTAATGAACATTCAGTTTGAAACTATTTTATTTACATTTTTAGAAATTAAAGAACTTGGACAAGTTTTTATAATTCAACACCAAGTAGCTTAACTACTTTAATGTGCTAATAGATTTTTATACAGAATCTCTTCATGGACATACTTTTGAAATATTACAAAAAGTATACAGTTTTAAAGTGGAACTGTACAACAAATCTGTTTTTGGTGTTTTTTTTACAAACAAACCAACAGTAAAACGTAAAAGCAGGTCTCATTTTAAGTCAACTTTGTCATGATTTTCTTTTCCATTTTGGAGGTTTCATTATTCATAAACTGTTTAGAAACAGTTCAGAAATTGTATAAAATCTTTAGTCTTCATTTTCTTTAAAAAAAAAGTTATACAATTAAGTGAGCTTACTGTGATTAAGTGCATTTCATGGAAGTACAGTAAGAAAACACATCTTTCAATGTGACCAGTATATTTTTCTTTCAAACCCAAAAGACGTGCTTAATTCTCAAATTATATCACACAATCTATTTTATTTTTCATACTTATTTTTCTCATTTTTATTCATAAAGCCATTTGTAGTTTAAAAATAAGAACTGTAAACATTAAAATTGCATTTTGTACCTCACATGTATTGCAAACATTATAGTATGTTTTTTTTTTTTTAACCGTGGTTTCTATTGAAAGAGTTTAAAGAGATGTGAGAGTTAGAACTTTTTGAATTTCAAAGTATATTAAGTAATATTTTTGCATAACTGAAATGAGTGACTTGAAAGAAGTTGACTAAAGAGCATTCCATTTAAAAATGAGTGTTCCTATTTTGGTTTACATATTATGTAAATGAATATCCAGCTTAGATCAAAGGAGATCAAAAAGCATAGATGTTTACATATGTTCATTGAGGCTAGCTTTGATCCCCAAAACACACCTTGGTAATTTCAGTAATTTGCAGAATAGATAAAATGGTTCAAGACAGTGGACCTCTTCATTCCACTAGAGACTCTGGAGAAGCCGGTCATGGATATTGATGTTGAGCTGGACCAAATCTTGTCAAATGTCCTCTCCCTGGAAGAAGACTACCCTTTGCCACAGTATGAATACAATAAAAATGGCTTCACTAATGTTCTCAGGGAATTACTTGACATTTTTCCATCAGAGCAAAGTAAAGTGCCTATGCTCTACTCAGGGATTCTACAACAGAATCATGTGGATTCCTGCACATTCTCTGGAATCCCACATGAAACAAGATTAAACCAAAGTTTGGAATCTAAGAACCCAGAATATTATATGAATAAAACCCAAGGGACTTACAAGGGCATCAAAAGTAAGTTAATACAGTTAGCTATATATAGAATTCATTATAAAAATGTGTTTTTACATACTTAGTGTTTGGTAGGAGGGTTATAAAAATAACGTGTTTATAAATGTCTAGAAAAACACTTATTCGGTTTTAGTTTCATATATATTAACATTATCAAATTGACTATTACTTTGAAGCGTTCAAGTATTAGTTTGTTGTATAAACTATTTTTTTCTGATTTTCCTGTATTTATATGTATATTTTGATTTATTTTTTGCTCTTAAGGAAATTGTTGAAAACATATGTTTAACTATTTTTTATTTTGAAAAAAGATTATAAATGGTCAACTCACTTAACTTACATCGGTCATGTCTGCATTACTTCTATATCCTATAGACTGTAAGCTCGTTTGAGCACGGTCCTCTTCAACCTATCGTTCCTGTAAGTTTATTTGTAATTTTCCTATTTATAGTTAAATCCTCCCCTCTCATAATATTGTAAAACGCTATGGAATCTGTTGGCGCTATATAAATGGTGATGATAATAATCAACCAGTTAATTGATCAGATCGTTATACACTGAGATTTGTTAGTTCTGGAAAAGAAAGTTTTGCTTAGACCACGTCTGTCTTAAAACAAATGATTCTATACAACTCTACATTTATTTTCTTTGCTTAATCTATTCAGGGCCATTGCATGCAGAGCAGACAGAAGGATGTAAAAGACAGAGGTGCATGAATGATATTTATTTGCCAATGGCCTCAAACAGAACGGTGAAAAGAACACAGTTCAGCATGGAACAGACGGCATACTTGCTAAATCAGTTTGAACTGGATCCTTATCCAGACTTTGTAAGAAGATGTCAAATTGCAAATTTAGCCGGAATCCCTGAACCAAGGATACAGGTAATTTTTTTTCCAAGTGTCATTTTATATGTATAGATATAAAGTAATATAATTAGAGTTCAAAGCATGCAAATTATATTAAACACCTTACCTCCCAATCATATGTACCCATCTTATAACACATGCAGAAAAGGATTTAGTCCACAAAGCCCCACTTATCATCCATTTTTTTCCCCAACGTTTGTTTTTACTATTCAAATTAATTTCTCTTCCTGGGCTCTGCTTGCCCCATCTTTATTACTGATCTCTGAAAATGGCCAACTCCCATTCCACAGGAGTTTTTGACTACTAGACTGATTCTATGTAGTTTAACCTACAGAGTGAGAGGATTTAGAATCATTTTAATAAGGGGCAACGTGTTTGGAATTCAAAGTTAAAGGGACACTCCAGGACCCTAATGCACTATAGCTTCCTGTAGTGCTTTGTGTGAATAGTCTTTGTAATATAAAAAAAGTACAGATTTTAATCGAAATCAATAAAATCTTGCTACACCTCTCTGGCTGTCAGATAACTGGTTCTGTGACTTCCTGTTTTTTAGCCCAATGGAGCTAAACTCAGGATGAACGCAACTGCTCAGAGCGCCTACCATGCAAATTCATTGCGTAGCATGGAATTTCATTGAGTAGCATGGGCAGCTATAGAAAGTCTGGCCTGGCAGGGTTTGCAAAGGCTTCAAACAAGAAGTTTGCAGATTTTGCAAGTTGTCTTTAGATATAACCCCAATACAATCCTAATTCAACGCTTCATGGTTTGAATATATATATGTACTAAACATGTTTTTATTTGGGCAGTGGAGTGTCCTGTTCAAAGTAAATTTCCAAGTTTTATCCTATAATAGCCAAAACTAGAGAGAGGACAGGGATATAAAGATTCTCAATTCAGAATGCATAATTCAAAACAAAAATGTTTTCTAATGAGCAGACTAAACTTGCCCAGTAGAATCTGCAACATATTTTTGAGAATTACCATAGTACGGATGTTTTTGTAAGGGTTTATAAATAAATTAGCCATATACTGAATTATCTTAAATGTACTAAAACATGTCATTATTTACAGGTTTGGTTTCAAAATAGAAGAGCAAGACATCTCATGGAACCAAAGAACTACCGAAGCAACATGAAAAGCCATTGAACATTAAAGTTTTTTTATTTTTCTTCTAAAAACATTTGACTTTATCTGCACTTAAAGATCATATCGGCACTTAACAAAATTATAGCATATTAAATGATAGAAGTGGTCAGTGTAAAAATCTTATTGCTAAATACTACTTTCAAGTTAATTTATTTTTATTTAGTTATTCATTTTTTTTTAATTCTATTTATTGGTTCTAATGAATCCATTCCATTCTGGTACACTTGTATGATTCTCTGACCATGTTACATAACATGCCTGCTTGTGAAACAAATGTGAACTTGTCTTAATAAAATTGTCTAAACTATAAATTTTGTATTTTTGTTTCCTCTCATGACTTGAAAAAAATACCTTTTATAAGACAAATGCTCTAAAGTTTAAGAACATCGAGATGAAGATAATGTAAACTATTTCCATAGATGTTCATTAGACTTGCAGATTAGTTTTATTCTGGGAGATCAGCTGAAATCCTAATTTTGGAACTGCCAAAGGTCAGTATCTAACTACGAATGACTAACACAACATCAGAAAGAGGGAAGAAGTGTAGAAGAGGCTGTATTTTAATTTTTATTTAATTTGGTTTTGTATTTTGGTAGGGGCAAATAGGCAGCTTAGTTTGCTATGATGGACAAGAGGTCTGCCCAGTAATGTGGCTGGATCTTTGGTCCAATGAAGAGGTGGGAAACAAAAGATGACTGATTGGATAGGGGACAGCCAGTAAATGTTGACTAATGCTCAGGTGACAACTAACCAATGCAGAGGATAAAGGCGAAGCAGTAAAACAAACTAGAAGAACGTTTCCCATTCACTTTGACTGCATAGATGGCACGAGTCTTGTGGTTGTGGTTAGTGCAGTGTCCTACTTTAACCCCTTAAGGACACAACTTCTGGAATAAACAGGAATAATGAGGGAATATATCCATAAAAAAAAAATAGAAAATCTTTTTAACACCAGCTTGGAATCACCATCCTTTTTTGTTTTTGACCTCCATGTTTTTTATGCTGGAACAGCATGTGCCATTTGTGCTTCCACTGGTATTGCAGTTCATTCTGGGAGGGGTTATCCAAGAAGGTATGAGTGGAGAGCACATTAGAGACTAATTTGTATTCCTTCCACTACAGTTTTAACCTTTTCTGGTGTCCCTCTGCTGTATGAGGGCTCAAAACGTGTGTTTTATGCACTGGTCTCCATGGGTAGATCAACTGTCAGCCAATACAGTGTAATATAACTATTACAATTGTGAAACAAGGAATATTTGATACGTCAGCCTTTAAAAAACAATAAATACATTTGCATCACTTTATATTTTCATTATCTTAACATTAACCCCTTAGTATGCATTTCTGCGGTGTTTGTGTTTAGCTGTAATTTTCCTCTTACTCATTTACTGTATCCACACATTTTATATACAGTTTTTCTCACCATTAAATGATCTTTCTAAAGATACCATAATTAACTTACTATAAAATGTTTTTCTAAAATATGATGAAAAAAATACTTTATAACTTTGACCCCCAAAATCTGTTACACATCTACAACCGCCAAAAAAAAAGCCTGTGCTAAATCTATTCTAAATTTTGAAAATACCCAATGTTAACATATTCTTAGCGGGGTTTTTTTGTTTTTTTGGTGGAAACTATAGGGCGATAAATAAAAGTAGCACTTTGCTATTTCCAAACCATTTTTTTTTTCTTCAAAAGTTACATTGTAACATGATCTGTCAGGAATCCCTGAATAACCCTTCACGTGTGTGTGTGTATGTATGTATGTATGTATGTGTGTATATATATATATATATATATATATATATATATATATATATATATATATATATAAAATATATATAAAAAAATTGTTTGGTATTAAACTTAGGGTATTTTGACTTTTTCATGCAACCATTTTACCACCAATCTATGCCAAATTAAAAAAATATATTTTTTTTTTCACACAAAACAATTTAAGAATACATGTACTGAGAACTTTAAGTGTTACTGCCAAAGAACACCCCAATATGTGTTCAGCGACATCTCCTGAGTACAGTGATACCACCCATATAAAAACCATCAAACCATATATTTCTGAAAAGTAGACACCCTAGGGTATTTTATATGGTGAAACAAAGAGGGGAGAAGAGTCTGCGCTAAACCAGAGAAGGAGCAGCAACCCTATAAGGGAATCCCTCAAGAAACCCTTTAAGAGACAGAAAAATACAAAAAAGGGGGGGGTAAGGGCTGCGCTAATAAATAATAAATATTGGATAAATAGGATATAATCAATAGACAAAGTTCGTCTAAAAATGGATTAAAAACAGTCTCACTGATATGTGATGGTATGGTAATAGTCCTCAGGTGTTGATCCGTCCGTGTGGTGGCAGATAGTCCATATATGTGGAAATAAAAACAGATAGAGAGCTTCCAATAGTGAAATATAGTACGTCCAAATGTGATGTATAAATCAAGAGAAAAGTATTCCACTCACATTTGTTGGAGCTTGAACCAGCTCTAGGAGAAGAGGCACTTAGTGGTTTAATCCCCACTATCGGATACACTTGAGTGATGGGTCCGTCTGTCCGACTTTGGGTTTCCTTGGTGTAGGCTGGGACCTACTCAGATGTGCGTAGTTCTTTGATGCTGGGAAGATAGGTCCGCCTCTCCAGTTTTGAATAATGGGTATCCACGAAATATATAAAACAGTAGATAGTGCTCTCAGTTTGAACAGTAAAACTATTTTGAAATAAGTTATACTTACAAGAATAGAGCAGACAGATACTGCTCTATTACCACAGCGCTGGTGGAATTATCCCCACCTGAGGATTTCTTTGTTAATTAACTTTTATTGATTTAAAATACACTTATTAAAATCATTTAATGGTTTTAATAAGTGTATTTTAAATCAATAAAAGTTAATTTTGGTTAGCCTTTTATACTAGGACCAATCTTATACTTATTTTTATTGTATTTTATACACTTTAACTACTCCTGGCACTCTCATATATTGTTTTTATACTATATTTTTTATTTTTTATTTATAATTATAAAAAAAAAAAAAAATTTTTAAAAACCCTAACCCTCAAGTGTATCCCGTCCAAAGAAATCCTCAGGTGGGGATAATTCCACCAGCGCTGTGGTAATAGAGCAGTATCTGTCTGCTCTATTCTTGTAAGTATAACTTATTTCAAAATAATAGTTTTACTGTTCAAACTGAGAGCACTATCTACTGTTTTATATATTTCGTGGATACCCATTATTCAAAACTGGAGAGGCGGACCTATCTTCCCAGCATCAAAGAACTACGCACATCTGAGTAGGTCCCAGCCTACACCAAGGAAACCCAAAGTCGGACAGACGGACCCATCACTCAAGTGTATCCGATAGTGGGGATTAAACCACTAAGTGCCTCTTCTCCTAGAGCTGGTTCAAGCTCCAACAAATGTGAGTGGAATACTTTTCTCTTGATTTATACATCACATTTGGACGTACTATATTTCACTATTGGAAGCTCTCTATCTGTTTTTATTTCCACATATATGGACTATCTGCCACCACACGGACGGATCAACACCTGAGGACTATTACCATACCATCACATATCAGTGAGACTGTTTTTAATCCATTTTTAGACGAACTTTGTCTATTGATTATATCCTATTTATCCAATATTTATTATTTATTAGCGCAGCCCTTACCCCCCCTTTTTTTGTATTTTATATGGTGGTATTTTAACACTTTTCATGCACTAACACATAACAGGAACTGATAATCCATGCCTAAAGTACAATGTGAGAGGAAAAATAAAAAAGACTACCCAAAAGTTTGACGAACACCCCAATATGTGTTCAGCAACATCTCCTGAGTACAGTGATACCACCCATGTACAGGTGTCAGGTTCTCTGGGAGCTAAAATACCTTATTTGGAGGATGCGCATTCCAGTTTTCCAACTTGGAATTTTCACAGCTGGTCATCATGCACCCATGTCCTATTTGAGAAATTTTTTAAGCCAGCCAATGTAATTTACCTCCATCAAACCATATATTTTTGAAAAGTAGACACCCTATGGTGTTTCAAATGGTGGTATTTTAACACTTTCCATGCATTAATTCTACCAAAAGTCTTTGTGAGAAAAATTACTACCCAAAAGTTTGACATTGTACTTTGGGCATTGATTCTCAGTTCCTGTTATTGCCATTTATGTAGCGCCAACAGGTTCCATAGCACCTTACAATATTATGAGAGGGGGGATTTTACTATAAAAAGAACAATTAAAAGAAAACTTACAGGAACGATAGGTTGAAGAGGACCCTGCTCAAACGAGCTTACAGTCTATAGGAAGTGGGGTATAAAACACATTAGGACATCACAATCAAATTAGGTGGGAGTGAAGCAGAGCTGGAGGAGAGTGCTGCCCTTTAGAAGAGAGCAAGAGACAGGTATGTAAGGTAGAGGATACTCTGTGAGGCCATAAGCTTTCCTAAAGAGATGTTTTTTTAAGGCACTTCTTAAATGATTGAAGACCTGGGGAGAGTCTTATGGTGGTAGGCAGGCTTTTCCATAGGAAGGGAGCCGCCTGTGAGAAGTCCTGCAAGCATGAGTTGGCCGTACGGGTGCGAGCAGCAGACAGGAGAAGGTCATGGGCAGAACAAAGAGACAGAGATGGGGCATACCTATGGATCTATGAAGAGATATGAGGGGCTAGAATTGTTCAGTGCTTTATAGGTATGGATTAGTACTTTGAATTGACTCCTATAGGAAACAGCCAGTGTAAGGACTGACAGAGGGGTGAGGTGTGAGAGGACTGATTAGAGAGGAAAATCAGTCTGATGACAGCATTCATTACAGACTGTTGTGGGGCAACACAGCTTTTGGGAAGACCAATTAGGAGAGGGTTACAATAATCCATGAAGGAAATTACTAGAGCATGGACAAGCTCCTTGGTAGCATCTTGCGTAAGAAAGAGGTGGATGCGGGCTATGTTTTTAAGATGGAATCTACAGGATTTGGCAACATACTGGATGTGAGGCTCAAAGATGACGCCAAGACAGCATGCTTGCAAGGTTGTATTTATGTGGATACCACTAATTTAAAGGGAAAGCTAAAGAGGAGGAGGATCAGTATTAGGAGGAGGAAAGACAATGAGCTCCGTTATAGAGTGATTGACTTTCAGAAAGTGGAAGGACATCCAGTGAGATGGACAGCACGGTAGAGGTCCGGGGAGCAGATATTTGGGTGTATAGTTGGTAGTGGAATCCAAAAGGGGTAATAAGTTTGTGTTACTGACAAAGAACACCCCAATATGTGTTCATCATCTTGTGGGGATATGTATGAGGTGATAAATATTAAATATAATTTTATAAAAATTATCAAAAATTAATTTAATTTTTATTATATAAAAAATTGATATAATGGCACTGTCCCCGAATTTAATAATATAATAAAGCTGAGAATTTCCCACTATTTAATTCTCTTAGATCCTAGAAGCCAATCATCAGAGGATTTTATTCCACACAGTGATCACAATTTTATTATAAAAATATAATTTATTGTGACAATAATGATAAAAATGTGTAATATGCGTGATAATCAGTAAATATTTAGGTATAACATAGGTGTACAAAGTATGGCAATGGTTTAAACATAATACAGCGGCTAAAAGCAAGATTTATGAGAGGGTGATTCACTTCACACAGAACACAGAATTCCACAGAATACAACAGTGCAGCGAGAAGTAATAAAATCTTGGCTATCAGTTAGATCCTGATTAACTATTCCACTGCTGGTTACAATCCTCCTAGACATATAATATCCTATTCCATTGCAATTTCAATTAAAATAATGTTCACACCAGATCATTAACCATTCCTGGATCCATTTCTTTTGTCTGACCACCATCTGCTAACATTTAACATCTGCATACCCTATACCAAAATCTCACCACCGTCCACTCTCCAACCTCGCAGAAACCTCAACTCTCTCGATCTCCAGCACTTCTCCACTAAACTCCAAACACTCCTTTTACCCATCTCAAATCACAACTGCCCTAACTCTGCAACCTCACTCTACAACTCCACTCTCTCCTCTCAACTTGACATCATGGCACCTCCTACAGTTAAACGCAGCAAGCGCCCCCAACTACAACCCTGGCACACCAAGCTGACCCGTTACCTCCAAAAATGTTCCAGAACTGCTGAACGCTGCTGGAGAAAGTCTCACTTTGCATCTGACTTTGTCCACTATAAATTTATGCTGCGCTCCTACAGCATGGCTCTTTCCTCTGCAAAAGTAAGCTACTTCAACACCCTCATAAGCACACTGTCCCACCAACCCAAACACCTGTTTCACACTTTTGATGCACTTCTTCGCCCTGTGACTCCCCCTCCTTCCACCACCTTGTCCGCCACAAACTTTGCATCTCATTTCACTGAGAAGATCTCTACAATCAGGAAAGAGATCTCTAATCTTTCTCCAACCAGTATCAATACATCACCCAACCCCATTCCCCCTGTCATCCTAAGCTCATTTGCACCTGCTACAGCACAAGAGGTTTCTGCTCTGCTCCTGTCCTCCCGCCCCACCACCTGCTCCCTCGATCCTATTCCCTCGCATCTCATCCGCACTTTGTCTCCCTCTCTTGCTCTTCCTCTCGCTAACATTTTCAATCTCTCCCTTTCCTCTGGCACATTTCCCTCTGCCTTCAAACATGCAACCGTAACCCCAATTCTGAAAAAGCCCAACCTCGATCCCAACTCCCCATCCAACTACCGCCCTATCTCGCTACTGCCATTTGCCTCCAAGATCCTCGAGAGAGTTGTCTACGCCAGATTGACAGACTTTCTTGAATCCAACTCTCTGCTTGACCCCCTTCAGTATGGATTCTGCGCTGGTCACTCTGTCGAAACTGCTGTGACCAAAGTATCCAACGATTTAATTGCTGCTAAATCTCGCGGCCAATACTCTATCCTAATCCTCCTTGATCTTTCTGCCGCATTTGACACTGTTGATCATCAACAGCTTCTTCACATTCTCCGTAACTTTGGTCTACGGGATTCTGCTCTCTCCTGGTGCTCCTCCTACCTCTCCCAGCGCTCCTTCAGTGTTTCTTTCTCTGGCTCTGCCTCTTCTCCCCAACCCCTCCCTGTCGGCGTCCCCAGGGTTCTGTCCTCGGCCCCCTACTGTTCTCTATCTATACTGCCTCCCTTGGTAAACTCATCAGCTCTTTTGGCGTCCAATACCATTTATATGCAGATGACACGCAAATCTACCTGTCCTCCCCTGATCTCTCTCCGCCCACCTTGACTCGTGTTTCTGACTGCCTCTCTGCTATTTCCAACTGGATGGCTGCTCACTTCCTTAAACTCAACCTGTCCAAAACAGAACTTCTAGTTTTTCCTCCCTCAAGTGCTGCTACTCCTGTGTCTGTCGCCATCCAAGTCAACGGCGCTACTATCACCTCTACCTCCCAGGCTCGCTGCCTAGGAGTTCTTTTTGATTCTGATCTCTCTTTTACTCCCCATGTTCAATCGATAGCCAAATCCTGTCGCTTCCAACTCAAGAACATAGCGCGCATCCGCCCATATCTAACGCCGGACGCGGCTAAGGTACTGGTTCATGCTGTTGTTCTCTCTCGCCTTGACTATTGCAATCCCCTTCTCACCGGTCTTACATGTTCCCAGCTTGCACCGCTGCAATCTATAATGAATATGGCTGCGAGGCTTATTTTCCTGTCCGGTCGCACCTCCCACGCCTCCACGCTCTGTCAGTCCCTGCATTGGCTTCCAGTTAGATATAGGGCCCAATTCAAAATTCTGGTGCTTGCTTAGAAATCCCTACATAATGCTGCTCCAACATACCTATCCTCCCTCATACACAAGTATGTCCCGACGAGACCCCTGCGCTCAGCCCAAGACCTACTCCTATCCTCTGCCCGGATCCCCACCTCTGATGCTCGCCTTCAAGACTTCTCCAGGGCTGCACCTATTCTGTGGAACTCCCTTCCCTCCTCAATCAGACTTTCACCCAGCCTCCATTCCTTCAAAAAATCTTTGAAAACTCACTTCTTTATTAAAGCGTATCAATTAAACTGTCAGCAGGTTTCTCATCCCCCACCCCATGACTCCGTTCCTTCACCTGTCAAAAATGACCTACCAAGCACTCAATAAACCCTTCTGTAACAAACTATTTAATTCCCCTACTTTAACCCTTTGTGTCACTATACCCCACTCCCTCTAGCATGTAAGCTCATCGAGCAGGGCCCTCAACCCCCTCTGTTCCTGTACGTCAGTGGTCTGATCTCAATTATGTGTCTGTTAGTCCACCCATTGTACAGCGCTACGGAATTTGTTGGCGCTATATAAATAATAAAATAATAATAATAATCTACCAGATTTTACATTAGCCGAATTTTAATTTCCCTACATAAGATATAAGGCATGTGCATGGGGAAAATTTTCAGTTCGGTTCGGCATTCCGAAATTCGGGACTTCCGAAATTCGGCAACTACGACACTTCGGGACTTCTCTTGCAGCCGCTTAGTACATAACTCCCTAATTCCCATGGTATTTCTGACAAATTTACTAATACTAAGAAAAAATTACTTAGTATTAGTAAATTTTGCCCCTACTTGCTATACCGCGAGTAGGGGCATGTCTATTAAACAGTGAGCAGCCTGTGGCAGCCCTGGCCCCCACCCCTGAGAGGCGGATAGGGGCCCTAAATTGGAATAAGGGAGGGGACCTAATGTCCTCCCCTCTGGCCCCCACCCCTGAACGGTCGGTGGGGGCCCTAAGTTAGAATGGGGGAGACCTAATTTCCTCCACCCCTGAGCGGCGGGTGGGGCCCCTAAATAAAAATGTTACCCCCCCAGGTGACTAGGGGTCCCTGAACCCCTAATCACCCCTCCAAAAAAATTAACCCCACACTCTAAAAATAATGAGGGGGGGACCTTTAACTAAGTACCTGTAAAAAACATAAAACTTACCATTTGATGTTTTCTTTCTTCTAAAATCTTCTTTTTTCAGCCCCAAAAAAGGCCAAATAAAAAATCCACCCATGGAGGGCTCCGTGCAGACTGAGCTCTGCATGGCAGGGGAAGGTTTATAAAGCCTTGCCTCGTCCTGCAACTAGACTTACCTGTCAGTCTCTACATTTACCTGTCACAGCACTCTGGTTGGCTTTAAATCCACCAATCAGAGTGCTCTGTGTCATTTTACACAGCGTGGGAAAGTTCTTTGGAATTTTCCCACGCTGTGTAATTTGACTCATAACACTCTGGTGGATTAAGTAACCAATCAGAGAGTAATGAGTCAAATTACACAGTGAGTAGGGGCATAATTTACTAATACTAAGTAATCTTTACTTAGTATTAGTAAATTTGGCTGAAAGACCAATTTAGATCTTTCAGCCTTTTAGCAGCTGGTAATGTCTCTCCAAACCCCGGTCCCCTCTCAACAAACTCAGCACATACTAACCCAAGGATCCACACTAATCTCATACCCATCTCTTGTTCCTCTAAATCCTCCTTCAATACTGCCCTCTGGAACGCACGCTCTGTTTGCAATATAACTAAATCCACTGCTGTCCATGACTACTTCATCTCTCGTTCAATAGATTTACTAGCCTTAACAGAAACCTGGCTCTCCCCCTCTGACACTGCCACCCCTGCATCTTTGTCCTTCGGTGGTCTCCAACTTACCCACACCCCAAGAAACTCTGAATGTAAAGGTGGTGGTGTTGGGTTTCTCCTCTCCCCTCACTGCTCTTTTAAACCTCTTCCCACCCCCCCTTCCCTCTCTTTCCCATCATTTGAAATACACTCAATTCGCCTTTTCAAACCCTTCGCTGCTAACATTGCTGTTATTTATCGTCCCCCTGGTTCCCCTCTTCTCTTCCTTGACCATTTTGCTGCCTGGCTACCCTATTTCCTCTCTTCTAACATCCCATCCCTAATTCTCGGGGACTTCAATATTCCTATAAACCCACCTTTGACCTCTGCAGCCAATAAACTACTTTCAATTACTTCCTCCCTCGGGCTATCACAGTGGGCAAATTCACCCACCCATGTTGCTGGCAATACCCTCGACCTAATCTTCACTTATGCATGTACGGTATCTAATATCTGCAACACTCCCTATCCTCTCTCTGATCACCACCTCTTATCGTTTGCTCTCACGTACCCCCTCACCCAACAACCTCCGCCTAACCAGCCTCAACTCAGGAGGGACCTTAATTCTCTTGATCTCCAACAGTTGTCAGCTGACATTGATCCACAACTGCTGTCCATCCCTTCCCTATCCTGTCCTTCACTGGCCATCTCCATATATAACTCTACTCTTACATCTGCCTTGAACACTGCAGCGCCACTCCAAGCAAGCACCTCAAGGAGGACCCGCCCCCAACCATGGCATACTAAATCAACGCGCTACCTGCAAAGATGCTCCCGGTGTGCTGAACGCTCCTGGAGGAAGTCTCGCACCCAGTCAGACTTTCTCCATTATAGATTCATACTGTGTTCATACAGTGCAGCCCTTGCCCTTGCCAAACAGTCCTATTTTTCCTCTCTCATTAGTTCATGTTCCCGCAACCCCAGGCGTCTCTTTGACACCTTTAATTCTCTTCTTCGCCCCGCTGTGGCCACCCCCCAAACCAACCTTACTGCTGATAACTTTGCATGTTACTTCACTGACAAAATTGAACAGCTAAGGAAAGAATTCTCCCCTCCTTGCCTTTCTGCTTCTCAATCACACATTGATCATGCCTTTCCTACCCTTCAGACATTCTCCCCAGCCACTGACCAAGAGGTGGCTGCTCTTCTTTGCTCCTCTCGCCCCACCACTTGCCCGCTCGATCCTGTCCCGTCTCACCTTATCAGATCTCTCTCCACTTGTCTTGTGCCTTCTCTAACACACATCTTCAACTGCTCGCTCTCTTCTGGCATCGTCCCTGCTGACCTTAAACATGCCACTGTAGTACCTATACTAAAAAAACCATCCCTTGACCCATCCACCCCCTCTAACTACCGTCCCATATCCCTGCTCCCTTTTTCCTCAAAGCTTCTGGAAAGACTCGTCTTTACCCGTGTGTCTCATTTCCTCAATTCCAACTCTCTCCTTGACCCCCTTCAATCTGGCTTCCGCCCTCTCCACTCTACAGAGACTGCCCTTATCAAAGTTACTAACGACCTAATCGCAGCTAAATCCAAAGGCCACTACTCCATACTAATTCTTCTTGACCTCTCGGCGGCCTTTGACACCGTTGATCATGCTCTCCTTCTTCAAACTCTGCAATCGCTTGGTCTCTGTGACTCTGTCCTCTCGTGGTTTTCCTCTTATCTCTCCCAACGCTCATTCAGTGTCTCTTTTTCTAATGATACCTCCTCCCCTCGCCCTGTCTCGGTTGGAGTCCCCCAAGGCTCCGTCCTTGGTCCCCTTCTATTTTCTCTTTACACTGCCTCTCTTGGCAAACTTATTACCTCATTTGGTTTCCACTACCACCTGTACGCTGATGACACCCAGCTATATCTCTCCTCCCCGGACCTCTCCCCTGCTGTCCTGCAACGTGTCACTGCTTGCCTTTCTTCCATCTCTGACTGGATGTCCTCCCGCTTTCTGAAACTCAATCTCTCAAAAACTGAGCTCCTTGTCTTTCCTCCTCCTAATACTGATCCTCCTCTTCTCGCTCTCCCTTCAAGTTTGTGGTACCAACATCAGCCCATCCTTGCAAGCGCGCTGTCTTGGCGTCATACTTGACTCTGGTCTCACCTTTGAGCCTCACATCCAGCATGTTGCCAAATCCTGTAGATTCCATCTTAAAAACATAGCCCGCATCCGCCCCTTTCTTGCACCAGATACTACCAAGGAGCTTGTCCATGCTCTAATAATTTCACGCATGGATTATTGTAACCCTCTCCTGCTTGGTCTTCCCAAAAGCCGTACTGCACCCCTACAGTCTGTAATGAATGCTGCTGCTAGACTGATTTTCCTCTCTAGTCGGTTCTCTCACACCTCACCCCTCTGCCAGTCCTTACATTGGCTTCCTGTGTGCTATAGGAGTCAATTCAAGGCACTAACTCACACCTATAAAGCACTGAACAACTCTAGCCCCTCTTATATCTCCTCACTGATCCACAGGTATGTCCCTTCTCGGTCTCTCCGCTCTGCCCGTGACCACCTCCTGTCCGTTGTCCGCACCCGTACGGCCAACTCGCGCTTGCAGGACTTCTCGCGGGCGGCTCCCTTCCTATGGAATAGCCTGCCTACCGCCATCCGACTCTCCCCTAGTCTTGCATCTTTTAAGAAGTGCCTTAAAACCCATCTCTTTAGGAAAGCTTATGGCCTCCAAGACTAACCCCTACCTCACATACCCGTCTCTTGCCCTCTCCTAAAGGGCAGCCCACCTTATTTGATTGCACATTCCTGTCCTAATGTGTTTTACACCCCACCTCCTATAGAATGTAAGCTCGATGAGCAGGGTCCTCTTCAACCTATTGTTCCTGTAAGTTTATTTGTAATTGTCCTATTTATAGTTAAATCCCCTTTCATAATATTGTAAAGTGCTACGGAATCTGTTGGCGCTATATAAATGGCAATAATAATAATAATAATAATAATAATTTAGTAGATAGCTCCCTAATACCGTGGGCCAAGTAACTTACATTTTATATAAATGTATGTTACTTGATTGTTGTAAGTGTTGCAAATGCTTACAGCTGAATCCTGGCTATGTTTGTATACTTTTTATTTAAAATTGTATACAGTGTAACATTCTTCATTCTTCCACTGGGTAAGTATATTAGTTCTTAGGCAATACTTCAGCACTTCAGAACTTCGGCAATTCGACCATTCAGCAATTTGGCAATTCATCTATTCGGACATTTGGGAGTACCGAATGTCCGAATTGCCCGAAATTCGTCCGAATTCACATCCGGACCGAAACAAATTGCACATGTCTATAAGATATACTATCTTATTTCAGAGCAAATCAATACATCTGGATAAATACAGCGGTATGCTAACTTATGACAAATTTATCATTAATATATCGTTATCTTACTCCACCTGCAGTTATGGAGTCTTTATATTCTTTTAGTTAACTAAGATTTCTAATTATTGAAATCTAACCAAGATTTATCCAGGCAAATATATCTATTAGTAAAATTTTTATTAATTGGAATTAATTAAATAAAACCAGCATAATTACCAGTTATGTTGTAGATGTTCTTATCAGATGCTCTTCTTATCAGATGAATAGATAGTCCCAGGAATTGAATGCAAGTATGATTATGTATAGAGGTGTGCATGTAATAGAAAAGTGGTGTTGGTTAGAAAGTAATAGGTGTCCAGGAAATTGTTTAAGTTGTTTCAAGAGAGTTTGAATGTCAGATTTGAGTGTAGGCCCAGAGTGTCTCCTCAATTTGTGTCCTCAATCTGTCCTGGATCTCTCCCCTGAATTCTTCTCTGTCCTTAAAAGGGTCAAACTTTCTGTACGTCATTAGTTGATCTGACGAATAGGAAACTGAAGGTGTGTCCACCTTTATCTAGTATTATCTAGTTTTTGGTGAGTAGATGGCGCCCTTTCATCACCAAAATTTCTTGTCCTGAAAAGAGTTAACTCAAAATGATGATGATTTAGACGTCATTTGGCTTATCTATAATGTCTGCTGTAACTCAAATTTGCTGCCAGCTTCAAAGGATTTCCCTAGTCTTCGTGGCGGCGATTTCAATCATAATTTAAAATTGACACCTCCTAACCTTAATTTCACCCTTTTTCTTACAATTGGACCTTGTAAGATTTAGAAAGTAAATTAATTACTTGGTGTTATCTATAACTGTTACTAGTGTCTGGCTTTCTTGTGTGAAGTTGTGTGTAAGATTATTCTACTTTATTAACATTAAGAAGAGTATTCCATCCCCCTTCTCTGTTAGACTCATTGCCTTGTTTACATAAAGCATTCCTTATCTCAGACTTGAATGACTAGAGTTAGACAGAAATTTTTTTTCTTTCTTAGCCTGAAAATCCAAAATGGAGTCAGCTTTGTTTTAAGTGTCTCTGGCATTATACACTATAAATTTCTATCTTAGCACCAAATATCTGCCGATATAAATATACTGACAATCTCCTGACTACAACAGTACCCCAATGTTCAGGTTTTATGGTTTCTTGTAAACTTACAGGGGTCAAATGTAGGGCTTTCCCCTATTCCATGTTTGCACATTGGAATTTGCCAGATTGGTATGCTGGCCCTATTTGTCTTTGAGACCGTATGGCAGCCCAGAAATGAAAATTAACCCCATCATGGCATACCATTTGGAAATGTAGACAACCCAGGGTATTCAATATGGGGTATGTCCAGTCTTTTTTAGTAGCCACTTAGTCACAAACCCTGGCCAAAATTAGTGTTTATTTTTTTTTAATTTTTTTTTTTCATTTTTCACACACAAACTGCCATTTCACTGATGATATCAGTATAATGCATTTTACTGCTGTAATGTCTCTTGAGTACAACAGCACCCCTCAAATACAGGTTTTATAGTGATCTGGAAAGTTACAGGGCCAAACATAAGATTTGTCGTAAGACTTACCCTTGCAGTAGTGAGAGCACTGTTAAAGTGCTATTTATGTTGGAAAAGCAAGTCTTAGGGCTTTACTGGTGTGTGTATTTGTGTTTAGCAATGTATTAACTATCCACTTACTTCAGGTAGAGGGGGTTTTCATCCACACTTTTTTCCCACCACAACTATGTTGGTACGTGTGTGTATATGTATATGCAAGACGCGTTTTCGCCTCCCTCATAGGCTTCTTCATATGCTTGTTGTCTTCTTGGTTAGTCAGTCTTTTATATGTCCTTGATAATTAGCTATTGATATCACCTGGTATCTCCTTTTCTGATTTCTGTCTTCTCCATATGACGTCACTCGTCGTGGCACCTACTTTTTTTGTATTTCCAGTATGTCCATATTTGAAACACATCTATGCATTCCAATCTTTAAGAAAACTTTATTGTTCATGGTCTATGATTTCAAACTGCAGTCCTGAGAGTCTCTTTCATGTGCATTTATCAAGCATTTCAGAACATAAGAATGAAAACTCAATAAATAACAATGTGGTTAAAATTGACAATAAAACTATTTGATGTGTTGGTATTTAATACAAAGATAGTGACAGAAATATTTATTCACTCATAGATTTCTAAACTAGTATGGAGCAAATAGAGGATTGCTTTAAATGTTCATTTAAGCCTTTCAACATCTGTTTATAATAGAGCTTCTGTGTTTGATATCACTAAAAATATATCTATAAATAAAAGAAGGAACTACATAGTAGTATTGATATAAGTTTAAATAAAAATGAGGGGAAATGGATTAAGAATAATAAAAATAAGAATTTTTCTAAACAAAGATGGGTGTTGCCTTTACATTAACTTGTTATAAGAAATGGCATATCTCAAAATCTGAATTGAGCTCGTATGGGGTGAGGGTATTAAAGTTAAAAATATTAACAAATTAGAAAAAGACATGAGATAAACTCCCCTCCTCTCCAATCTTTTTTCACTGTTTTTAAGGCGCAACAAAATAGGTCTTTGGGGTCCTGATTATGTGTTGTTTTGAAATGTTGGGAGACGCTATGAGTTTCAAGGCCTTTCTTTATATTTCGTATGCGTTCAGCGATCCGAACATTAAGTGGTCGAATGGTTCTGCCTATGTATTAAAGATTGCATGGGCATTTTAAAACATAAAAGTCATACTATAGGGATTTAGCAAGTCATTAAAGATAATTTAATGTGCTATTCAAAGGGGGTCCTATATGTCAGTAAGGTGTCTTTTATAGCTCTTTGTTACCCTACATAGGAGGCAGTTCCCACATCCATAAAAACCCCAAAGGTCTTTTAAAAAGTTCCTTGGTTTTTAAGTTTCTAAACAACTTGTAACTAAAATATTTTTAGATTTTTGGTTCCACTGTAAATTATTCTGGGTTCAGGTGGGTATAATTTTGTTTAAAACAGGATTGTCTTTTAAGATATGCCAATGTTTTCTTATGGCCTGCTGCACTTTCCTGGTGTTTCCTTTAGAATTGCAGATGAAAGGAATTTATTTTCTTCATAGCCTCTCACCAAAATTTGTTGCTCTAGATGTTATGCTTGTTCTACATAATCATTTGCTCCAAGGGGATAGTTCCTTCAAATAAGAAGGAACTGTACAGTAGAATTCGTTAGCCAGGGTCTGTGGTGATAGCTGGTTCTGTTTATGTAGTGGTATGTGTCCACTGGTTTGAAATAGTTCTTAATTTTAATGTAGGAGTATTTAATGTAGATGTTTAAATCCAAAAAATTGATCTCAGTGTAACTTCTAGTGCATGTTAATGTAATTCCCCAATTGTTAGTATTTGGGGAATACTATTGCCTGTCCAAATGAAAAATGTCCTCTATGTACCTGTGATAGGACACAGAGTTTGCTACACAGCCATGCCCCTGGTAAATAAAGTGCTCTTCCCAATATGCCGTAAATAGATTGGCATAGCTGGGAGCAAACATCACCATAAAGAAAGTCTGTAGAAAAAACTGTTCTTGAACCCGAAAAAAGTTGATAGTTAAAATCAATAAAATTTCCTCCAGTATAAAATCTGTTCTTTTTTAAAGTGATTCCTCTAAAAAATTGAAAGGAAAGAGAACAGACATAGAGCCAATGTTAGGTACACTAGGGAACATGGTGTAACCCCAAATAGAAAGTTGAAAATCAATAGTAGTGTGCTGGGGACTGGGATGTAAACTGTTAACTCAGAGATGAGTATCAAATATTACTGGAAAATCACTTCCAGACAACGTACTAAACTACTAAAAGCTAAAAATAAATTTTATTAAGTTAAATACACAATATAACAAAAGAAATACTGAACGTGCTTATGTACAGACAGTGAACAAAAAATAGGTACTGAGATCAATACCGTGTTTAAAACCTCCCTATCAAAAATCAATAGGAACTGCCATAGATGTCATATGCCTGGATTAGATGTGTCCCTATTAATAGTAAGGACAATCTCAAAATAAATGCCAGTCTGCGGAGGACTGGTGAAAGATTCACAGGCAGCTTGGATTGTATGGAAGACTGTTAAGGTTAGTATGAATATCGGCAAATTAGTATCAATAGATGTTAATGACAAATAAATAGAAGCTGTAGCGAGATAATGCTGGGTAGTGGAGCTAGCTGATTTAAGTATATTACTGCACATGTTTATGTCTGGGTATAGAGCTCTATCTAATAATAGTAGGAGGGTAAGCTATGGCATCAAATGTATCCAGTTCTACAAAAATCTATAAACGGACAGTGAATCAATAGATTGCTTATAGTGGTTGTTAGTCCACAATAGAGCTGGATATATAGTGTCACAATCTGAGTCTGGGTAACTTATATTGCCTACGATATAGATCTGTGAGAGCTGTTGCAAAGGCTGTTAATACGTAAAGCAGCTATTGGTATATGCTCCTGCTATGCAATATTGTCAAGTAGATCTCAGCGTCTTAAGGTTGATCAGTGAGTAGAGGGCTGTGGCAGAAAGTACTCCAGAATGAACTGACAGTTGTCTAGTGCTAAAGCTGTAACCCCCCTGTGCCTTCAAGGGCACCTAACGCTAATCCCGCTAGGCTACTACAACCTAAATTTAGAGTATTGCCAAAAATAAGATAAAAATTTAATTTAATAAATAGATAAACGAAATAGCAAGTCTGTGTGCTAGACTCTAAATCATAGGAATAGCACACTAAGAACCCCTGACCTTTTTCGTGTCGAATAATGCTATACAATTAACTTATGTCACATGTGACCCATATATATCCTTCCTTCCATTGTGTTTGTTCCAGAATTTGTAACATATGGATGGTATCTTTTAAACAATATGGATTTTTAACTACTAATGGTTGTAACATAATATCTATATATTCTGAGACCCTAGCTGATATTGAGTCAATTCCTGATATAATAGGTCTACTTGGTGGGTTGATTATGTCTTTGTCTACCTTAGGTAAATGATAAAAGACTGGTATCCGTGGATTAATCATAAATAAATATTTAGATTATTTCTCATTTAGAATTTGTAATTCTTTCCCTTTCTCTATATTTAGCCTGAACTTCTCCTTTATGTTCTCTATAGGGTTAGATGGTAATTTATGTTTGAGGGTCCGAAAGAAGTCTTTCTGCCTCCTTTGTAGCTAATCGGATAAGCAGCTATATGAGCAATAGCTCTTAGTGGGCTATTCACTGATGTGCCTGACGACGTGTTCTAAATATGCGCCGGGTTCTTCTGCACCTCACTGTGTGTGTGTAGTTCACTCACTATGAGTAGCACTTTTTTGCTATTTTATATGCACTTTGTTACCAAAGGGTCAGTTGGTTCAGGTAGGTACTAGTGGGATTCCCACAGTGCTGAGGTATCTAGGGTCAGCATGTTTGGCTAGGACTTTTGTTTTGTTTTTTAAAAAGGGGGGTGGGAGACTCTCGTCACTTTGATTCTTTCCCAATTGTTTTTTTTCTCTGCTAAGCACCAGTAACCTTAGCTGCTATAAGGATTTTGTTGTTTTAGCCCTGTCTGGGGACTTATTCACTTTTTTTTGTGCTTTCAACCTGCACATACTATCCTGCATCATAAATTATTTGGTAAACCTCTAATACTAGAGAGGACTAGTAATCTAGTCCTGCCTTGTGGTAGACATAGCTCAATTAGCAGCTACCCACATGTATTTCCCTAGTACCACTGGTCTTTCTGGATCTTTCATGTTTGGTAGCCTGCGGCTACCATGTATATATTGGTCAAGGCCTTTTTTTTTTCCTTTTTGGTATTCTTGTTTATATTGTAAATTGATTTGTAGTAAGTACTTTAATACCCACATGATTCAATAAAGATTATTTTTACATCCACTGCCTTCCCCTCCTGAGGTGTCTTAGTACACGTTAGGTTTTTTCTGTTTTGGCTCCAAGGGGTTTATGTATTAGGGTTCCCCTGTGTTAGGGAAGTGCAGTCACAGGCTCTCCTCAGCACTGTTGCCCCACCTCCCCCTTGTAGAGATTTACTCTGGGCAGTGTGCCAACAGCCCTGTTTCTTTCTTTTAACTATAGACCACAATTAATAGCATGTTTTAAGAGCACATGACATATATAACAAACAAATTAAACACAGGGCTATAACAGATTGTTAAACTGTACTTCCTGTATGTAAGCATATTGTATTTTTGTCACAACTACTGTATGTGACACTTTATATTTGTCCTATTGATGATATTTAAAGTTGCACAGTAAAGTTAAGAATATAAATGTGTATAAACATAATAGTGCATTGTTACAAGTTTAAGTCCATGTGCCCATTGTAGGAAGTTAAAAAACAAAGCAAAAACTTATTTTACTCACTTTTTCTCCCTCACAAAGCTGGTGTCCACACTGCAGTCGACCTTCTTTGAAGATCGGGAACATGCACCTAGACCACTTTGTTGACCTGAAGTCAACATGAAGCATGTCAAACATCCAGCCCGCATGCGGCCCACAATGAGTATCTTTGTGGCCCACGGCCGGATTGGCCTACCGGGATACTGGGAAATTGAGCAGAGAAGATTGTGGGGGCTTGACTGGAAGATGGCTTAAGGTAGGGGTAGAGGAGTTTAGGGGAACCTTCCTGTAGTGTTTTAAATGGGGAGGGCAGTGTATAAGAGTGCTGAGAAGGAGAGGGGCAGTGTATTAAATTGGGGTGGAGGCAGATGGGACAGTGTACTAGAGTGTGGGCTGGGGCCATGTGAGGCTGCTTTTTAGATTGGAGGGGGAAGCACAGTATGTAACTTGAAGTGAATCTTTTTAATAAAAAAAATAAAAATATATATATATATATTGATTTTCTCACCCCTCTTGGGTGGTATGCTTATTCCTCATTCTCGGGTCCTCTACCAGAGGCCTGGGAGGGAATTTGAGGGTTCTGCACAGTATCTTAGCTGTTCCTAGAACTGCACTATTCTGGACAGCGATCTCAGATGTCCCACCTGGAATCTGTTGAAGCCACTCCCCCCCAACTTGGGAGTCACAGCCCAGAGTGCTCCTATCACATCTGGGACTACTACTGCCTTCACTTTGCACATACTTTCTAGTTCTTCTTTCAGTCCTTGGTATTTGTTAACCATCTCATGTTCCTTCTTTCTGATGTTATAATCACTGGGTATTGTCACATCCACCACGACTGCAGTCTTTCGTTCCTTGTCTACCACCATGATGTTGGGTTGGTTGGCTTGTCTGTCTGGATCTTGAAGTCCCATAGAGAGGTTTGTCTTGCCATGAAACCTTCTTTTATGCATCCTCTACCTGTTGTTGTCTCAGGCATTCCCTTAGCAGTTCACCTTTGTGAGCCATCTTTGGATGTACTTGTGGATACTCTGTGTTTCATCCAGGATTGGCTGTGACACTCATCAGGCCCTGGCTGGGTGTACAGTTGGTATACAATCTTTGTGTGCTGGATTTTGGGTGGAATCCTTCATTCATAGTGAGTAGTTTCCGGGTTTTGACATCCATGGTGACCAGTTCTTCTGCAAAAAAGAAAATCTAGCTTCTACATGGACTAATCCCAAAGCAACTAAAATGCTTAATAGCTGATTGCCATCCGGCAAATAGTTTAAAACTGCATGTGGGAGTCACTATGATACCCATATAAGTACAAGGAAAGGTTTATACCTCCAAACATGCCATCAGTGGGTAATGTCTGTTAAACAGTCTTCAACCTGATAACTGTCAAATGACATGCTCCCAAAATGAGGATATGAATTAAATATAGATGTGTATAGTGTCTCCCATACCCACATTGTGGATCCAATTAAATAACAATGTGGGGAGGACAGAGTGTCCCTTTCATGTCCCCACAGTCAGGCTTCAATTTTTAATATGAATATAGGGGGACATTGTGTCCTCCTTCTCCTACCCATTGGGGCAAAAATTAAAATGCATGGGGGTGGGGGACGTGGTTACCCACAGCCCAGACCTGTGACCAGTGGGTGGGAACTCTAATGAACAGAGAGAACCTAATCAGTGGGTGGGGGCTTTAAAGTCCTAATGGAGGTGTGTTGTGGCACTAATATTGAAATTAGAGGGGGGCAATAGGTTTCTCCATTTATTAATAACAGGGACAGACATAGTGTCCCCTTCTGCCCACACCAATAGGCAACAGGTGAGTATTCTATATAAATATAGGAGGTTTCATCCTAATAGTGAGAGTAGGCAATGAAAAGAACTATAAAAAAAAAAGAAGTTATCTAATGGTACGTGTGACTTTTTCAGCCCCCCCAAAAAAGCCAAATAAAACTCCATTGTCCAATCACAACTTTAAAAATCAGAGTGCTGTGACTGATATTACATAGCACAAGAAAAGACACGATTTTACATTATATTTATTTAGAGCCCCCAACCACTGCCCATGGGTTAGGGGACACTAGGTCTCCCCTGGAGCTTTATTTAGTGCTTGACATCTGACCACGGGTGAGGGGACACTAGCTCTTCCCTGGATTATTAATTAGAGCTTAACATGTTGACCATGGGTGGGGACTTCCGGGGACCCTCCCCCTGCATAAACCTGCATTTAGCTCCCCACTGATGTTGCGTGGAGGGAGCAGTGCTTCCACTGCATTTATTTATTAGCTCTACTTTGAGGCCATGGGATGTAGACAGTGATCTTTCCAACACCATTCTTTAAATAGAATCCCCCATGGCTTTCTGACCAGACATTTCCCTAGACCAGGATCAATTTATGTTTGTTTTCATGACTCCACATCCTTTTTTTTTTGTTTGTTTGTTTTCAAAAGTCATTGCTACTGCCTTTTCCTGTGAAACAGAGATGGATGGATTAATGGGTGGGTAAGAGGTGGTTAAGAGACAAGGGGGATGCTTGAGAAACTCTCCCAGCTCAGAGATTTGAGAGAAAAAAACACTGATAACATTTATAATAAGTTTAAAAACATTAAAAAAAATTCTTATACATGGAAAAAATACGGTATGTAATTTAAAATTGGGGGTCGTCTTGTACACAGAATGTCCACTGCAGGGGTTAAAAAGAACACTTGTACATGGGGCCTAAGCCAAGATGGCGTCTGCCGAGTTTCAGTGTGCCACAGCCTACACACATACCTGGCCTCTCCTGCCGATCCACTTCTAAATGCTGTGGCAAGGAGGAAGAGGTCAGCAGACATCAGCACCTGCCACCAATGGAGCTCAAGAGACATGTCACACCATAAAAAGAGCCATATTAAGGTTTACACCACCTCAGATAGGTCTTGCTTTCTGGTTTATGTGGAAGAAATAGGGATCAGGTAGCAGAGGGAATATAATATTGTGATGTCCCAGCATGTCCTCACACCACCTGCTGTATTATGGGAGTTGTAGTCTCCCAGCATGCACTATGGAGCAATTAACTTTACAGAGTACCTTAGCACAGGGGAGACAAGAGGAATCAGAAATGTGTTGTTTTCCTTAGAAGTCACCTCTAAAATTAAAAAGTTGTCATATTTGATGTTTCAAATATTTATTTCATGATTTTTGGCTCAAAAAATAGGGGTAGTCTAATACATGGAAAAATACGGAAATTTGTAAGGTTTGAAATACTTTGAACCTTTTCTTTATGTTAGCTTGTATATTTGTGTGAAATTGTTTGCTTGGTTTAACAAAAAAAAGTCATATGATGTCCCTTTACACCTATTTCCCTTCATATTGCATTTTCTTGATTAAATTTCAATGTAGGATTATTTTGTAAGTGTCAGAAATGTGTTTTGCAGGATCAAAGTAAATTAAAATGTAATAAACAAACAATTGCAAACTGTGCTTTTGATCCCTATCAAATTCCTGAATACAAACCATGCTTTATAGTTACCTAAGCATGTCACCAAAACATTTAAATGCTATCCACAATTGCATTTTGATCAAAAGACACAAATTAATTAATTGATGTAGCTTGAAATACTATCCTTATAGAGATGTCTTTCATGTCCCATTTATTGTCACTTTAAGCCTGTACAACATGAGAAAGGGTAATAGACTTCCTGAAAACTTACTTGTGTGTTAAAGATCTTATAAAACAATAAATTGTAGGGAAACAGGTATACTGTAGTAGATAAATGAAATGTTAGTATATTTACTTAACAAACTGAGTGACAACTTCCCTCATTTATTTAAAATTCTAATGAAATAATGTAATGTGTTAAAAGCTCTTGAATGTTCCAAACAAATTAATCACTTTCATTAATTCATTTTTTTAATGATGTTGTATTTTTATAGTGCTATTTAAGAAAACTTTTAAAATCTTAGAATGTTAGTGTTGTTTTTTTCCATTATTTAAAAAAAAAAAAACTAAATGTAGAAAAATATTTTAAACCCATAATAGAAGAGCCATTTTGCTTTTACTATTGTAAATCCAATGAGGTTTTTGTATTTGCTATTTTAACATAGAAAGTATGTATATTTTTTTCTTTTATTTTTTCTCTCTCTCATTGTTTGGAAAAGATATTGGAGCTGAGGGGAGGTCCTAGCAATGACTCTGTACACATCATGCTGGTCATTGAGCTGTTCCGGATCCTAAGGAACTCGGCAAACCATACTTATGGCCCAGCAGTTTGGGAGTTTGCTGAGCTTAGACCGTTCGGGGGACTATCTATTAACTACTTGGTGAGCACAGTGGAGAGGACTGCTTCTTATATTACACTAGCTAAGCTACAAATTTCAGTTACGTACTACTCTACTGCCTGAATATAATCTTAATTGCTAATTCGATAGTTAAAGTTTTTATACATCGTCTAGTCTAGGCAGTTAGCCTTTTCGCATTTATACTTATTGATCTAGTTTAGCAATTAAGCATGTTATTATATTCCTTTATTATTATTCTCAAGCATATCACATTAAGGTCTAGTCAAGTCATATTGTCAGTTTGTATTGCCTGGTTTCCCTTTTTTTTGCTATACAATCTTCCTCCTCTACTGACCTATTTTGCTTGAACATACAAACAAAAAATGTGCAGTTTTATCAATTGCCTTGATCGTGTTTACTATATACTGAATATATAGGCTTGTTCATGCTGTTGAATAATAGCCATGTTTGATACTTAATGCACTAACAAAGAATGTTAAAAAAATATATATATATATAGATTTTTAAAAGTATTATATTTCCTAAACAATATTGTTTAGAGAAATTGTTTCTTAAATTTCCATTTTAAACCCATATATAACTATTAGGTTTTTACCCACAGTGGTACTAACATACAATCCCAATATGGAAGCATAATTCTCTTTTGCAAAATAGTTAATTGAATATATCACAAACATTGCATGTAAACAAAATTGTATGGGAATAATTTAAGATAACATTAACATTTCCATCCAACTTAAATTAGACTGATCATTTTATAGTTTAAGAGAAGTGTTAGATTATTTGATCTATGGAATGTAACTTTGCAATAGTTATAATTTTGTCCAAAACTTAAAGTTCAAAGAGCATAGGTGTTAGTGATTTGTATATTGAGGATCAAAGGTAACCTTAATAATCAAAAACTTTCACACCAGTTGTATTCTGGATACATAAAAACACTGAGGACAGGGATGTCCTACATTCTAGACTACTTACAGATTACTGGGCAGACAGCCATGAGTATTGATGCAGAGCTGGATCACATTTTGTCTATAGTTCTTTCCCTAGAAGAGGACTACCCTACATTACTGCTTCCACAGAATGTTTGTAACAGTACTTGTTCCAGTGGTGTCCTTGGGACTTTTCCTGACATTTATCCACATGCTCCAAGTCAAATGGCTCTTCATTACACAGATATCCAAGAACAGACACAGGTGGTTCCCTGCTTAATCTGGGGAACCCCAAATGAGGCTCAGACAAGAAGAATACTGGATTCAAGCAGCACAGATGAACTGATGTATGAAATTCCAGGAGGAAATAACGATATCACCCATAACAAAAGTAAGTTTATGCAGTATATTTTCTTCATAATGTTAAAGCTGGTGTCATAGTTAACCTTTATGACTTATCTCCCTAAGCTTAGTTTGTTTTGCACAATATGTCTCCTTCTATAAGAGTATATATAGTTTATTAGAAGTTCACTATCAAATAATTAAGCATTATGGTGAAACACAGACATTATCAACAAAGTGGCTTACTTTTTTATTCCCCACTTTATTAAATTAAATTGCCACAAATTTGTATTTGAATAATAACCTTTTTTTAAAAAGTGGTTAATCTATAAACAGAGACGTGTGGTGTTATGACAAGCAACTTACACAATTAAGATTTGTATAGATGTTTTAGGATAAAATAACTTGTGGCTGGACTTACTTAGTGGAGAGATACAGTAGGTTTTCTATGCTTACTTACTCTGTTAAGAAAATCTCTGTGCCTTTATTGTCTTTAATTAGTTCACATCTACTCTTCATACTAGACATTTTTATTATATTCATCACCGGCTTAGAAAGACAGTTGCTTAGAAAAAAATATATCTGGTATAATTATTGTATATTACATTTATAGATTGTGTTCTCTTGTTCCTTCAGGGTCATTTCCTGGAGACACTAAGGAGAAGGAAAGTTCTAAAAGGCAGAAATGTGTGAGTGATATCAATCAGCCAACAACCTCAAGGACCAGGTCAGCCAAAAGGACACAATTCAGCGAAGAACAGACAACCTTCTTATTGAATCAGTTTGAACTAGACCCTTATCCAGACTTTATAAAAAGATGTCACATTGCAAATATAACACAAATCCCAGAACCCAGGATACAGGTAATTTAATCATGTTTATTATATTGTTTTAATGTGCTACTTTGTCCATTCTTAAAAATTTAACTTGATAACTAGTGATGTCCCGAACGGTTCGCCACGGACTCCAGTCAGCAGACACATTCCAGCCAATCAGCAGCAGACCCTCCCTCCCAGACAACTCACGAAGAATGCAGCTTCAAAATGGATGCTGTCCAGGAGGTGGAAGGGTCTGGGAGGGAGGGTCTGCTGCTGATTGGCTGGAATGTGTCTGCTGACTGGAGTCTATGGCGAACTGTCCGGCACATCACTATTGATAACTAATGTAAGAGGTGTACAGGAGAAACAGCAAACATTTTAAGTGTTAGTAGTAAATTGTTATTCTTTCAAGACAGATTTAGGTAATTTGTATTATGACACTTTTAAAACAGCACTTCTCATAAAGGTGTTAATAGAGTAAAAAGAAAATAAGAATTATGGATGCTTAATATCTTAAAAAAACCAAAATATGTCAATAATGGACGGCAATTAAAATATGAGCAGTGTAGAGTGACCAATTGCCTGTTATCGAACACCACAATCTGTTTTATGTTCAAGTTCTGCATGTTTGCTATGTAATTATATTTAATGTATTTAAACACATAATTTTTTTTACATTTTTCTTAGGTGTGGTTTCAAAACAGAAGAGCAAGACATCATCAGAAATCCAAGAATCCAGACTGCAGATTTGACTTTTGAATAAAACCAGCTTTGACTAATATCTAAACTTCTGTAGAGAAATACAATATGTGTAATTACATAAAAAATATAAGAATATAAATGTCATTCCCACATCATTACTCAGACCACTTCATAAGAATTTCACACAATTGCTGTTCATTGTGCACTTATTTTATATTGTTTTGATTTTGAATTATGAAGACTTTTTTTAAAAATATATATTTTATCTTTTTTGTTTAATTTTAATATATAACAATAAAATATTATTAATTTATCTTGTGCCAAAGTTACTATTTTATCCCACACTCCCTAAATAGTCTATAAATGTTTTTACTTTCATTTACTGTGCAAAATGAAATGTATCCATAAAGTGTCACTCTAGCCTTAATTTATACTCCAAAAATGAGTACCATTCTACAAAGGAATGCATTTCTATGCAAGCAATATTTTCACTCATTACAATTTGGAATGTTTCCCTACATATTTAAATTATTAGGCCCCCTGAAAAACAAAGCATTTTTACTCACATTATATTCATCGCCATGGTGATCTCTCCATGACCTCCGCTGAGATCTTCAGTGACCAGTGGGGGACTACTATACATGTGTGCAATTGCAGCAGGACCAACCTACAATGGCTGTGTGACTGCTGCTAGAGGTGGACTTATGTAGCAATGTAAACACAGGCTTTTTTTGGAAGAGGCAGTCTTTTCATACAAAAAATACATTAAACAATAGTGGTTCTGGTGCTTAAAGGGTTCCTTTAAGGTAAAAATAGAGATGTGACCAGAACAGATTTAGAAAATGTCTCTAAACCAGCTTTGTTTTCATAAAATTTTAAATTCAGATTTGAACTTGAAATGTGGGACTTTTGCTGGAAGCCCTTTCATATAATGATTCAGAATACAAACAAGCCTTCCTTGTGTGGTTCTGTTTTACTGAGATATCTGTAATTTTCCTCATGCAAAGGTCATTTCTGTGATGCGCAACTAAATATAGCAAACATAAAATATGATCATTAGTCCAAACCTTATATAAAAAAAACAAAAAACACCCAATAACACCACCAGTGGAAATTTGTATGGAGGTGTGTGCATATACCCTTTTCCACACTAAAATTGTAGATAAACACTCTACAAGTCTTTGTAGAATCATCAAAACATACAAAATATCTACAAATAAAAAACACATATAGTGTAGTAAACACATCTTTAATATATATTGCACTTACAAGGTAAAAATCAAATGTGATCATATCCTTGAATAATGGACCTCCAGGTGAGCTCAAGCATCCAGAAACTCCAGGGCATAACAAAAATCAGAATCAAAAACAAATAGAAATTAAACTAAGACTTAAGTCAAATTGAAATATAAATTCTAAGCATAAAGCTTAGATAATTCACCTGGAAGGTGCAATTCTAAAATCTTTTTAACTCTGTCTGTATATGGAACTTTCTGTTAATTAAAAATATTCAATGAGCATCAATCTGTATACACTTAAATTGAATTGAATACATTTAATAACCTTTGAAAATAAAAAAAAAATGTCAAATGCAACTGTATTTTTAATACAAAACAATGTAAACATTTTACACATTGAAATTTGCACAAACATGAAATAGAAATGTTTTTTGCTTTTTCTAATCTTTAGTAGAACCTTTTGTATCTTATCCAGAACCTCAAGCTATCTACAGGAGGTATGCATCAAGAATGTTATATAGAAAACATAAAGACTTTAATTTATATTATCCATTGCTTATCTGTTTTATTTTGTCTTCAAAATATAAAAATATAAAGATTTTTAAGGTAAACTATTTTATTTAAAGACACTTTTCTGTGACTCTTCTTAAAGTTACTTTTCTATTTGGGTGGATGCCCTATTTATAATGCAATTCAGAAACAGAAGACTTAAGATATAATCACTTTTCTATACTGTTTATACCAGTTATTTACTCTTCCTATGCTTCATTTAATTGTACAACATTTATGGCACATACATTACAACAGTAATACACCAAAACGTCTATCTTACCCATACTACTCCGAACATCCATCAAGCATTACCAAATCCACTTTAAAAAAAAAAAAAAAACTTTGCTTCAATCTCTATATGTTATTTTTTTTGTTGTTTTTGCTTTTATTTTTGGGTAAAGGAATGGTCTTTTAGATATTGAGTGTATATTTTCATCCATTGTGGAACTTATTCAATTTGTAAATCAACACAAAATGCAATTTATCTTTTTTTTTATTTCATTTTAAAATGTATAATTTGCAAGTTACATCTATGTCAAACAGATACATATACTAAATTGAAACTGAATCTTGCTCAAAATTATAATTATATTTCTAGAATGTATGTGAAAATGAAACCACAACAAGTTTTATAAATAAAAAGGGACATTCCGTCTTTTATTTACTGCATTTCGTCTGTTAAAAAAAAAAAAAAAAGAATGAATAAACCAATATGATTAAGAAACTTATTTTGGGGAGCATTGTGTGTTGAATGTGAACGAATATTAATATTAAATAGTCAGGTTTCTTATACCAAACACACCCTGTTGTGATTTATACTTCCTGAAATAAACAAATTACAAGCCGTTGATACAATTGTGATATAAAACAGATAAGTAAATGTTTTAGTTATAACATTTTACTCCCTGTAATGCTGAGTTTTTATAAAACATTTTCAATATAAAATATATGGAAATTATATTTAAGAACGAGAGCAATATTAAAAAAGAAAGCAATAGCACCAAATCTGCGAGTATGAAATGTTTTTGTATTTTATTTGAAATATATCATGGAAGAGAAGTCAACTTTCTGCCAAAACTAATTTTCCATTTAGTAGATTTCACTAATTCTAAAACAATTAAAGTAATTGTACATAATTGTTAAAACATTAGGTAGCAATTAGTAACAAGGACGTGTGTGTATATAACAACATTTGGCTTTTGATCCTAACCAGGTCTTTAAATATCAAATGCGCTCCATTGTAACCCAAAAGTACAAATATAAATATGTATGTGACATACTTTGAGCTAGAAACACCTAGTGTTAGAAATGTGTTTATTCCTAGTTTGGTTCTTCAACATAACACAAATGCAAATGTGCTTGAGTTAATGATCAAAAGAAATTATCCACTGATGTAGCTTACAACACTATTCATACATATCAGCAAGTATCTCAAAGGTAATTGCACTGTATCCATACAGTTTTGAGTATCATACTTAGCTAACCCACTTAGTTATATATGTATAGGAGTAGGCAACCTTTGGCAGCCCCATATGCTTTGTCAGCATTATGTCTGTCTATTTCATACATCTATGAACCTTTTATGTTAGTTGAGAAAATAACATAAATGTAAAGTGCCTTAGTGGATATATGATTAAAAATAGATTGTTAGGTTTTTTTTTTTTACCATGTGTTTACATTTTCATAAATTAAATAACTTATTCAATTAAATTTAATTCAACACAGAACATTTAACTAATGTAATGTGATATTAGATTTTATAGATGATCTCTTCATGGACATACTTTAAAACTATTTTAGGAAAAGTTCTATATTTTTAAAGATTACAAAAAATATACAAACCGTTGGTTAGTTTGAAATAAGACAGATTTGTTGAAGTTTCACAACAAAGTAGTAAAGTATAAAAGCTGGTCTCGTTTTAAGTCAAATTCTGTCAAAATATTTTCCCTTTTGGAGATTTCATTATTCATAAAACAGTTTAAAAAATATCTTCAATTTCTGAATTATTATTTCTAAATTTTATTAAAAAATTTTTCCATGTGCATTTAATGAGTTAGCCACTCTCTCACTTAATTGTATAACATTTCATGAAAGTACAGTAAGAAAACACATCTTTTAATGTGACTAGAATATTTTTCTATTGAACTCAAATTCATAAATATAGTGTTTGAATTAAACTACAAAAGGCTGTATAAATAAAAATAAATCTGATTTTGTTATATTTATTCTGCTTACTATTTCTAAATAAACCTAGATCATGGAGAATGTTGAGGATCAAAGTGTGTTGAGTTAACACAAATAAGTATTTGTGTTCTTGATTCCATTCAGATCTTGCAATATCAAATACACCCTATTGTAACCGAAATGTAAAATTTGGAAGTAAAGGGCACATGAGTATCGAACTAGGTGTCACTAAATGAAAGTGTGTTGAATTCTAATACATATTAGTCAGATACTTCAACATAAAGCACACTCAATTGTTCCTCAAAAAATAAATATAAAAATATAAAATTTTAACAGCAGTTGTGCATGTGATCAAAATAAATCATCTAAATTGAAACACTTACATAACTTTTTCAAAATAAAAATGAGTAAATATCTTAAATACAAAGTACTGAATGAAGGGCTAATGGGACGTTAATTTAATAAATAAATGTAAAAATGAGGACATATTCATTTTAAAAATGTTGCCACTATTGTGTTAGCTTTTAAATCTGTCATTTACAGTACTTGGTGTTCATTATATAATAACCAATAAATTGAAAATAAGTGTGAACATTATATAAAGGAATTAAACAATTCACTGTCCATACTGTTGTACGTATGTTAAATCTAAATAAAATATACAAGATCAAAATTGACTTTAAATGGTTAATAGATCATAAAAAATAGTCAAGCTATTAAATCTTACATGCCACATGAAATCCTGGTTTATGGAAGTTTCACCTTAAAAGCAATGGTAAAATTGGTTGGGTATTTTTTATATATATATAAAAAAACTAAATATTTGAAGAGAATTTCAAATATTAGAATTGTATTTTATACTTCACAGATATTGTAAAACATGCAATAGACCTTGATAGTACTGGTTTTGACCATAGTTTCAATTACAAGAGTTTACAGAGATGTGAGCTTTAGAACCTCTACATTAATATACTTTGAAATGCAAAATCTGTTTGCATAACTGAATATGAGGGACATGAAAGAAGAGTATTCAAATAAAAAAATCATATATTGTTCCTATTTTGGTTCACACTTACCTATTATGTAAATGGCTATCCAGCTGAGATAAAAGGAGATCAAAAAGCATAGGTGTTTAGATATGTTTATTGAGGCTAACTTTGATCCCCAAAACACACCTTGGAAATTTCAGATGTTCGCAGAATAGATAAAATAGTTCAATGCAGTGGAACTCCTTATTCCACTGAGACTCTGGAGCAGCCTGCCATGGATATTGGTATTGATGTTGAGTTGGACCAAATCCTGACAACTGTTCTCTCCCTAGAAGAAGACTATCCTTTGCCACAGAATGAATACAATAAAAATTGCTTGACTACTGTTCTCAGGGATTTACATGATATTTTTCCATCAGTGCAAAATCGAATGCCACTTTTATACGCGGGGATTCTAGAACAGAATCATGTGGATCCCTGCTCATTTTCAGGAATCCCAAATAAAACATACAAAACTTTGGATCCTAGGAACCCAGATGATCTTATTAACAATTCACAAGGAACATACAAGGGCAACAAAAGTAAGTTAATATAATTAGCTACATATATATATATATATATATATATATATATATATATGTTTTATGAATTATACATTTATTTTAGTGTTTATATATCCTTTGTGTTTTGTAGGAGGGTTATAAAAATAAAACTTGTGTGTGTGTTTGTATATATATGCCTAGAAAAATAATTATTCAGTTTTAGTTTGTAATATATTAACATTATTAATTTGATGGCTACTTTAATGCGTTAACATGGATTGATCAGTTAGCAGGTTAGTTCCTGAAAAATAAAGTTTTGCTTGGACAGTCTGTGTTTTAAAACCAATGATTCTAAGCAATTCATGTATTTTATTTGCTTATTCTATTCAGGGACATTTCATTCAGAAGAGACAGAAGGATGTAAAAGACTGAGGCCGTTGTCAAATAAGTATCATTCAGGCCCCTGTACTAGCAAAATCGTGAAAAGCATACAATTCAGCAACGGGCAGACCATATGCTTACTGAATCAGTTTAAACTGGATCCCTATCCAGACTTCGTAAAAAGATGTCAAATTGCAAATCTAGCCGGAATCCCTGAACCAATGATACAGGTAAAAAGTTTATTAAAGTGTCATTTTATATGTTTATATTTTTCCTAAATTGTCTGTTACTTTATAACTAGTCAATGTTCAGAGCATATCAATTATATACAACTCCTTCCTTCCAATCCACACACATACAAATCTTAAAGGGATACTTTAGTGCCAGGACAACAGAACTGTATTCCTGGCACTATCACTTCCCCTGCCTCCCCACTCCCTCACACCCAGTTGAATAAAGGGTTAAAAACGCTTTATACACTTACCTGATCCCTGCGCCAATGTCCCTCGGTGCTGAGTCAAAGCATGCAGAATATGATTTTGTCAGCAAAGCCCCTCTTACCTTCCCATTTTTTTTTTTAATATTCAGGTAACTTAATTTACATTTCTGGGCTCATCCTCTCTAACTCTGTCGGTTTAAATTCTTAGAAGGGTTATTCAGTAAAGGGCAACTTGTTGGGAGTTCTGTTTATTTGACTACTAGACTTATTCTAAGTTAAAGGGACACTAACGCTTTAAAGTAATAAAGCTTTAAGCTCAAAGCACTTCAGCAGGTTTAAATGCTGTTTAGAGTGTGCCCTCCTTTTTCATTTTACATAGAGTACAGATTTTCATAGAAATTGGCAATTGTATTAATAAACCTTGCTATACTACCCTGGCTGTCAAACTGTACTGCTACTGAACTCAGTGATTCTAATCTCAAGAGAGTACCATGAGTTCCATGGGAATGTTTGTCATAGGACAGCCACAGTGTTTCAAAGTTTACACTAAAATAGCCATAACTGGAGACAATTTTCTTTCCGTGCCTTATTTTTTTAGTTATACAAAGACTCAATTCAAAATTCTAAATGTTTTCTTATGGACAAATGTCTTACTACAGATGGTTTAAGCATTACCATAGTAAGATTATTTTTGTAAGGGTTAAAGTGTGCCATATACCTACTGAATTATTATATTACATGTACTAAAATATGTAATTATTTACAGGTCTGGTTTCAAAATAGAAGAGCAAGACATTTCAAGTAACGCAAGAACTACTGAAGCAACCTTCAACATTCACATTTTTTTATTTTTTACTTCGCAAACACTTATGACATCTGCTTTATCAGTAATTAACAATTGTAACATATCATAGTATTTAACAATACATTTTCCACTGTCCACTTCTAATTTCAAGTTAAAGGGAAAGTATAGTGTCAGAAAAAAAAAACTTGTTTTCCTGGCACTATAACTTCCCCCTTTGTCAAGGCCCACCCCAGTGGTGCAGAAGGGGTAATAACCCCTTCTGTCACAATTGGGTCCAGCGCCGATGTACCTCGGCACTGGCTCAGCTCGCATTAGGACCTCCCCATAGGAATGCATTAATAAATGCTTTCATATGGGGATTCTGGTGACGCTGGAAGTCCTCATGCGTTGCGTGAGGACGTCCAACGTCGTTTAGAGGAGGACTTAACCCTAGCATGTCATTTTTGCAGTTTATAAAAATTGAAATAATTACATGCTCGGGGTTAAGGGTGATGGGATGCTGCACCCAGACCACAATGAGCTGAAGTGTTCTGGGTGCCTTCAGTATCCCTTTAAGTTACTTATATAGGTAACCAATCAGAGTACTGTGACAGGTAAATGTAGAGAATTTACCTGTCAGAGCACTCTGATTGGTTGGCTTGAAATCCACCAATCAGAGTGCTCTGTGTCATTTTACACAGTGTGGGAAAGTTCTTTGGAATTTTCCCACACTGTGTAAAATGACACAGAGTACTCTGATTGGTTAGTTTGAAATCCAGCCTTTTTTGGAGCTGAAAAAAGAAGATTTTAGAAGAAAGAAGACATCAAATGGTAAGTTTTATTTATTTTTTTACAGGTACTTAGCTAATGGTCCCTCATTATTTTTAGGGTGAGGGGGGTAGGTAGGGGTAATTTTATTGGGGAGAGGGGGGGTGACTAGGGGTTTGGGGACTCCTAGTCACTTGGGGAGGATTTTTATTTATGGCCCCCCTCCCACCGCTCAGGAGTAGGGGCCAGGGGGGAGGACAGTAGGTCCCCCCTTATTGGTATTTAGGGCCCACACCCGCTGTTCAGGGGTGGGGGCTGGGGGGGCAATAGGTCCCCCTTTAGTTTAAAAGCCCCCACTCGCACGTCGCGGGTGGGGGCTAAGGAGGGGGGAATTTTATTTATTTTTGTTAAATCGCTGAACACCGAACTCCAACCCAAACATACAGTGATATGTCCGTGGTCCAAAAAACTTTTCAGTTCGGGTTCGCTCAACTCTACATATCAGAATCAATATTAAGTCCATACTTCTCAATTAGTGTACCAAAAAGCACTGTCTCCTCCTCTAGGGTGATTAGGCTAATGAATATTTTGATGGATGAGATATCCCACACCTTGAAGGAGTTAATAACTGGGCATCCTGTTCATAGATTTGCTCTATGTTCCCTTGGCACCCACATGTAGAATTGTGGTAAGTCTGCTCCAGTCATTAGAGATTTCAGTTTCACCCACTTTCTAGTTTCTTGGGGAATGACCCATGATTATTTGAAGGCTAAATAATACAAATGGAGTTGCGGCATACCCAAACTCTTTACTAGTTTCAATCTATAAAGCACATTACTGGCTATATAGCAATGTCTATTCTGCCAAATATAATTGTTTTTCACTTTATGAAGTGTTGCTAGCTCTTTTTTGGTAATCGTGATAGTAAACGATTGCAGTAGAAAAAGGATTCTCAGAAGTATATTCAGTTTTACTGTTCAGATCATTCCCACCAATGAGATCGGTTTATGTGTCAATTTCTCCATATCCTACATAAGGGTATGAAACATTGGGGTATAATTTATTTGGAATAGTTTTGTGGGGTTTGTGATAAGTTAAATTCCTAGGTATTTGAAGGAATCTTGTGTTATATGAATATTGTATGTAGATCTAACTAGTGCTGTGTCTGCAGCCGAGAGATTTAATGGGAGAACACTTAATTTATCTAGATCTACTTTGTATTCTGCTATAACTTCAAATTATTATAAGTGTGTGTTTAAATGTTGCATAGCCATGATCAGGTTGTCAATATGAGCAAGACATCTGCATATTTAGAAACCACAACCTTGCCCCCATTTCTCTACCCCCCTCTAATGTTGGGGTGTTCTCCAATGGCATGTAGCAAAGGCTCTAGAAAGAAAACAAATAGTAAAGGTGACAGTGGGCACCCCCTGCCTGGTTCCACAGCTCAATGTAAAAGCATTTGGCTTTGCCCCTCTAATCTTACTCTGTGCTTGTACATTAGTGTGTATATGAGGTATAGCCTGTTTATTTCAGGAAGTATAATATAATTTATACAATTTTAGATATAAAACAGATAAGTTTTTTTGTTATACAAACGTACTCACTGAAATGATGTTTTTACAGTACATTTTCAATATAAAATATTGTAATTTAGAATTAGAGCAATATTAAAAAAGAAAGCAATAGCACCCAATCTGCCAGTATGTAACGTGTTTTTGTATTTCATTTGAAAAGTACGTCTCATTTTAAGTCAACTTTCTGCCAAAACAACTTTTCCATTTAGTAGATTTCATTCATTCTAAAGCAATTCAATAATAAAAGGCTGAAGTAATTTAATATATATATTAATTAAACATATCAATCTCTCTGTGCACTTTTAATAGCATTAAGTCACACTTAAAAGTTAGATTTAAAAAAAACTTCCATAAACTATTATATGCTTTTATATACATTTTATTAGTTGGAAGGAAACAGCATTGCTTATCAATATCATGACACCTCTTTTCTTTTTCTTATATGTGCTGTGGTAGCCTATTGGAGGAGAATTTTGGTGGTTTGAGGTCTGAAAATTAGTTTCTTGATAGAAGGCTATATGGGCTTTGTGGTTTTTCGCTTCCTGTAGGGCCATACAACATTTGTGAGGGAAGTTGAGTCCCTTAGCGTTTGACAAAATATTTAGTGTCATTTGTGTTTGGTAATGCGGGCGCTAAATGTGTGCTGTAGGCGAAGTTTATCACTGCCAAGGAAGTGTGGCGTAGTATGCCCCTTGGTTTCTAGTTGAGGTGTGGTGTTTTTATACAACGGGGGTGTATAGAGTTGGGCCCGCACTAAGTGCCAATGAATTTTACTTTGTACTTGTGAGATTTGCGTTGATGTGTCCTGGTGGCATCATGTCGCCTTGGGAGGGAGGGGCAACTGGGGTGTAACAAACTATATACAAAGGAAAGGTCTTCAACTTGAGACCTAATTGTCCTAGTATTTGTTGGGCATCGAAGCCCTCTTGTGGGGTGGAGAGTCCCTTTTCCTTAGGGAGAGGTCTACCGTCTTAGGAATTGTGTTGATTTCGGTGTGGCTTTTTGATGTGGGCTAGTGTATGTATGAGTCATTCCAGGATATTGTTAATACCCTCTTTTTTTTTTCTTGCACAGCCTATGGTTCCTGTTGGGTTCGATCGTGCTCCTGAACCATAAGCTGTGTATGTATATATTGTGTCTGAAAACAATGTAGTGTGTAACAAAAATGGAAACATATTGCTGTTCTTACTAAAGCCTAATAAAAGTCTGAGAGCGCTAGTGAACTTATTTTCCAGATGAGGGCTAGTGTTGGGTGTTGCTCCCAACTTTTGACTGAAAACAAGGGTAGCAGGAGGAGAGAGGCGCTTCACATGACCTTAATGTACCTGTTATTCTCATTTTGGTTTGATTTCGGTAAGTTTTCAATTGTCCAATAATGGCAGCGATGTCTATCAATTATGTCTCGCCAGTGAGTATGGTTTTTTTACGGGTATTTAAAGTCAGTGAGTAGGACTACATTTGGTCTTAAGTCGTGGCCGTTGGTAGGCATAGTTTCGTGATATGTCGGGTCAAGTGGTGGTGGTATATGTCCCATATCGGGCTTCTATATGTTAGTGTGTAGATAGTCATTTAGCTATCTGATGTTTCTATCCTCATAATATTGTATTGGGAATTTCCCTTGTACTGATCAGTATCTATTCAGTATTAATTAGGGGGTATTATAACATAAACTTGCATATAACTTTTAATTATAAAAAAAAAAAAGAGAGCAAATGTTCAAAACCGTGTGGGTCAAAAGTTCACCACTTTTGCGTTCCACTGTTTTGATCATAGTGTATACGCAGGTTTAATATGGGCCCAGAAGACCCTGTTTGGGGAAGTCACTTATCTGTAGCTTGCGTTTCCCAGTCGGGGGCCACTTTCATTGTTACTGCTGCTGGCGATCTTGCATTGTCCGTTGTGTCTATCATCGGTAAGTTCCATTCCGCCAGGGCATTTTTTCCATCTTCCGGGTTGAGAAGATGCTTTTCGATGCCGTTTCTTCTAATTATAAGACGTGTTGGGAAACCCCACTTGTAGGGTATGTCTGCCGCTCTCAGAGCTTTGGTTATAGGTATAAAGCTTCTTCGTGCATTGAGCGTGGTTGCGGAGAGATCGGTATACAGCTGGATTTTGCTATATGCCTCTGGCAGGTTATGATGTTTCCTAGAGGCAGACATTATAGCTTCCTTAGTAGTATAGCAGTGGATTCTTGTTATGGTGTCTCTTGGTGATGATGTTGGGAGATGTCTGGGTCTTGGTAGTCTGTGAGTTCTGTCTAGTAGCAATGCTGAGTCTGGAAGATCAGGTACCAGAAGATGGAAAAGTGTTGTGATATTTTCCCAGGTAGTTGGGGCCGACATCTTCCAGGATTCCGCATTGGCGTACGTTATTTCGCCGGTCTCTATCCTCGTGGTCGGCAAGTTTAGTGACAATGGAGGATAGTTTGGCTTCTATATTTTCATAGGCTGTAGCCACATTGTTATGTGCAGTAATGAGCTCTTCAGTTTTGTTTTCAAGATAATCCGTTCTGTCTCCCAGCGCTTTAACATCTGCTCTTATTTCTCTAGCCAATTTGGCAAAGTCTGCCTGTAAGGATGTCTGTAGGCCATTCAGCATTTTTTGTATTGCTGATTCAGTGGCTGGAATTTCTCTATTTGAGATGGAGGTGAAATCACTCCTGTCGGAGTTTGAAACTGGTGAGCCTGTTCAGTCGGTGTCATCTTGTGTGCGGCGTGGTGGCGAGGCCATAACTGCAACCTGCAGTGAAGGTGTTTCTCTCGCCTTTTTTTTTGTGGAGCGTTGTGCCATAGCGTCCCGACAGTATCCTGATGTGGTTGGCCAGCAGGCTATGGGTAGCCTTCTCTATAAACGCTATTATAATCGCTGTTTTAGGGTACTCTCTCCCACGTCCATCCTCATGAGCAGTCAGGCCACGCCCCTGCTTTTATATACATTTTAAGTAAATACCTTCATGTCAATGTGCATACATCTATTTTTTTAAATGGTTTAATTGAATGTGTTTTGTTTTTTGTACTTATGATTTCATAAATTATAATTTAATTCAGCAAAAGCACACTTCCCATATTTTGATATCATCTATTCTGTGCATCGTCTTTTCATACAAATACTACTATAAAAAAAAATAAAAGTTTTGAACATAAAACATGTTTTAAAGTTGAAAATGTAATTGTAGAAGGGAAAGATAATCCATCTTTACTGGCATATTTTCTGTTTTGATCACAGATTCCAAACTGAAACTGTATCTTGCTCAAAAGTATTAATATATTTAGAGACTTTAATTAAAAATTAAGCCATAACAGGTTGTATAAATAAAAATGGGGAATCCAGTCTTTATAACATTTCTTCGGAAAAAAAAAAAAAAAGAATCTCTCACTACCTTTGATTCTCTAAACACTTTTCCCCCATCACCTATGCTTATTCAAAGTGTGTTGCATTTTAGCACAAACATTGACATTTGGCCTTTGATCCTAGCCAGGTCTTTCAACACCAAATACCCAAGAGTACAAATATAAAAATGTATATTTAATTATTGAATAAATGCTAGTTTTTGGAGCTTGCATCTTAATTGCAAAACTTTGGTTCTTTAATCTTAGTTTGAACTAGAAACACCTAGTGTTAAACACAGATTTGTCATATAATATACAAAGTACGGAGAGAATACTTAATATAATAATAGCCAATTAATAGGGTGCTATTCCTTAAAGGCACTCCCTCAAATACCAAAACAGTCAATAGTAAATAACAAAGAATGCACACTATATAGCATATAGAATCTATATCTATATTTATTACATAACATATACATATACATCACAAATAACAATCACTGACTCACTAGGCAATTAATATCCAAAAATCAATATTTACCACATTCCACAATCCTAAATGGGCAGAAACACGAGTCAAAAAAAACAAAAAACAAAGTTTCGGCTCCCCCTGGTAGCCTTTATCAAGGGTATCTATATCAAAACACTCACCCTGAAACCCCTTATATACATATATGCATGTACTTACAGCTGATGGCCATCAGTAATAATGTGACTAAGCGAGACCGGAAGTGACATCATCACTTCCGACCACGGTCCCATTCACAAAATACAAAAATATACATAACTCGCCCACTGCCATATCCGCGCATATTAGTAAATAAAATTAACAAAACCAGAATAATGGTTAATAAAAATGAATAGGCAGAGCTAACCTCTACCCTAAAAGAAAAAATAGTCGCTTTATCATGGAAATCCTCCGTACTAGTAGCTCGTCTTGCGAAAAAACTACGGATACCCAAACGGTCCAAACCACTACATATTCCAACCGTGTCGAAACCCGCGCATGCGCAAGAAAGGGCGAACGCCAATCCAATCACATACAGCATATAAATTTTAAATAAACAGTAGTGAAGAGATAACAATAAAACCTATACCAAATGGCCAATATAGGATCTATCTACAAGGGGTCATTCAAAATGAGTGAGAAAGAATGCAGTATAGGGACAATTATTTCCCAACTAATACTAATTGGTAGTGAAACACCTCCACCACTAATAAAAGAAAACCACAACACCAAAAAGTGTGCAAAAATATACACCATCTCATTTATTTGTATGATCTACTATATTGTATATCCTTAAGCTTAAATAGCACAAAATAATCATACATATTTTTTATATTTTTAACCATGACACACTAGACTGTATGATCTTCGACCAAAAAAGGATGAATTGATCACACACATAAATTCAAAAATTACCTCTCCAATATATTTCATATTAAGCAATACAAATTACATATATTCAGTAACATAATATAACATATTAGCAAATTACATAGATACCAACTAAACAAAATACATGTATAGGTTCGTAAGGACTCCATTGATTGCAACCATGTTAAAAAAAATCACATTTTTTTCAGAGCTTAATGCAGGCTAAATTTCTTCTTTGCCAACGATTATACATAAGGTGATCCAATTCCAATTGTGATGAATTCCGATTCCATCCTTAAGTCCGATTACTGCCATCAATCCATGCGTCCACTATATCAAATATTCAAATGGATATCAATATGAGATCTAAACAAAATAAACAATAATTAAAAACAATACTAATGATATAAACACTATACAGGCAGGGTGAATGAACCAACTTCACAATGTGAATCTACAAAGACGGAGAGAGAGGTCACGTTCCTCATTAGGGAACAAAACCTGTAACTCATAAATCCAATACAGTTCACGTTGTTTCAATAACATTTCTCTCGAACCACCTCTTCTCAAGGGTTTCACTACCTCCAAAATCAAATACCTCAACTGTGAAACAGTATGCCGCATTTCTAAAAAGTGCCGGGCCACTGGGTATTGAATCTTACCAGTTCGAATACTACTCTTATGCTCCCTAATCCTAGTGGTGAACTTCCTCGTAGTCTCACCAACATAGGCCAAGCCACAGGGGCATTTCAACATGTACACTACAAATTCCATTTGACAATTACAATAATCTCTAATAGAATATTTCTTCCCTGTCCTGGGATGAAAAAAGGAATCCCACAAGATCACACCATTACAGTTCACACAGTTTCTGCATCTATACATACCAACAGGCATCTTAAGCCAGGATTCCTTAATCCCAGTCATTTCTTGGACATCCACATTGCGCATTAGATGATCTCGAAGATTTTTGTGTCTTTTAAAAGAGAACAAAGGTTTTTCATTAAAACAAGTCCTTATTTTAGGATCAGACTGTAGTATTTTCCAATGCTGGTTCACAATGTGCTTAATTTCCCTGGAGTGTTCCGAGTAGGTTGTTACACATGGAATCCTAATATTCTTATCCTTGACTTTTTTAACCAATAGCTGTTCCCTAGGCAACAGTTTAGCCTTATTCTTTCAATTAATCAAAGCATTCATCTCGTAACCCCTTGAAGCGAACACCTTCACTAATTCTTCTGCACGTCTATCGTAGTCATTATCTCGTGACACTATCCACCTTGTTCTAATAAATTGCCCATAGGGTAGTTGTTGCAAAAAATGTGATGGATGAAAGCTGCTAGCATGCAGGTATGACGCCGGATCAGTGGGTTTCTGATAGAGATCAAACCTCAATTGCCCATCACTTACCTCCATAGATACATCCAAAAAATGCATTTTGTGCGCATCATATTACATAGTAAAAGATAGTGTCCAATCTGTTATCCAATCTTTCCTTAAAACAAAGCAAATTTTCCACAGTTCCTGTCCAAAAAAAGAAAATATCGTTGTAACGGACCGTTTTGCACACAAGGGGTAAAAACCGCTTAGACGATAATCCCCCTTTTAGAGACAGGCACAGCTACTGTAGAATCACCAAAACTCAAGAACCGCCAATAAGTGAATGCTCCAAACTCCCGAACGGCATACAAGGGAATAAGGTAGCACTTCAAATAAACGAACAGGAACCATACGAATAGCTACTAGCAGACGAACAGGAAAAGCTTCCCAGCGGCTTACACTCCTGGCAATCAGTCCTTAGCAGCATACAGTAAATCCCCCCAAAGACGAGACAAGGCTCCGTGTTGAGGGTCAAGCAGTGGTCTGAGGTGCTGGCACACCCAGCCTGGTTTTTATTACAGTCTTGCAAATACAGGACCGCCCACAGGGAGGTATAAAACAACCAATCACATCACAGTTACATCCCACATATTCCCTCCCCTTATCCTGAGAGGAAACTCAATTATACATACAGTTAAAACATACTTTCTACCCAACTTTCATAACTCTAAAACCATACATCACATTCACATAAAATTACATATGCACAATCAATCCATTCAGGGGAACAACATATTCAAAAATGGCACAAATCAGACAAGGGGTTCAAAAGTTAGTAAAAAGTCCTTTGTGACTAAATGAAGCATGGCTTTCTGGCCCAAACCAGTTTCAGAGTCTTCTATCCTGGAGAGTAATTCAATTATCTCCCAGGACAGACACAAGACTCCATTAAGCACATGGTTGCAAAAAGACACAAAACACTTTAAAATACATAAAGTCACATTTATTACATAAAACACAGACATGTAACATATCCCCAGATAGCTCAGGTCCGAGCGCACATTATTAAGTGAATGGCGCTCAGACCACACGAATACAGTTTAATCGCCATGGAGCCAAAGTCTCTACAGTCAGTTTCATACAAATGGGCTCCATGGGATTGCTATCTGGGGTATAACACATTCAAACAAATCTACTGAACCCCAGGCAGAAAAGCACGAATACAGCTTTTCTGCAGGCAAAAATAAAGTCTTTTAAAAGGGGGCCATAGTCCAAAGGCAGCAGGCGAGCAACCAGGCTTCTCCAATGCAATGTGGCGAGATTGGTCTCGTCACATCTCTCCCCTTTTCCAAACAGACTAACAGGGTATCTGACCTCCTGCCGGTCAGTGCCCTTGTTAGTCCAGCAGCCCACCCACAAAAATAATCAACAGCACAGCCCACCCACAATAAATGGTTACTACACCTGGGTAAAGGAGAAGCTTGTCCATGTCCAGGTGCCTCACCACGGCTGTGCTGGGTACGGGTACGCTGACTTGGTGGGTTGCTGCGTGGGCAGAGACCAGCGGCACTCTGCCCTGTTGCCAGCGCTACTGGGAGGGTAGCCTGGTGGAAGCCTGGTTGTTGGAGGGGGAGACCGACTGTCTCCCCTTTAAATACACCGCTCTGCTGCTGCTGCTGGAGACTGACTGTCTCCCCTTTAGATGCACAGTCCTGCTGCTGGAGACTGACTGTCTCCCCTTTAGATGCACAGTCCTGCTGCTGGAGACCGACCGTCTCCCCTTTGGTTACCCATCTCTGCTGCTGGAGGGGGAGACCGACTGTCTCCCCTTTGGCTAAACAGCCCTGTCGCTGGGGGGCAGGACCGACCGTCCCTACCCCCTGTGCTGGCAGTGTAGAGACTACGGTCCCATCTGCACCGTTGTGGGGCTTACTGTCTCCCCCTGGTACATTAAGCTGCCGCTGGGGAGAGGGGGTAACAAGCTCCTCTCCCATACATACTTCCAGCTGCGGGGGAGGGAGACCGACTGTCTCTGCTCCCAATACAGAGTCCTGCTGCTGGGGAAAGGAGACTGGGCTCTCTATTCCCGGTAGGACACTCTGCCGCTGGGGAATGGAGACGGGGCTCCCAATTCCCAATGATCTGTGCTGCCGCTGGGGAATGGAGACTGGGCTCCCAATTCCCAAAGCATCATACTGTCGCTGGGGAATGGAGACTGGGCTCCCAATTCCCAAAAAATCACGCTGCCGCTGGGGAGGGAGGACACTGCTCTCCTCTCCCTGGACTTCACACTGCCTTCCCGGCATATCACTTGGCTGCTGGGGGGCAGGAACAACTACCTCTGCCCCTGTAACTCAGCCTGCCGCTGGGGAGGGAGGACACTACTCTCCTCTCCCTGCACTTCACACTGCCTTCCCGGCATATCACTCTGCTGCTGGGGGGCAGGAACAACTACCTCTGCCCCCTGTAACTCAGCCTGCCGCTGGGGAGGGAGGACGCTGCTCTCCTCTCCCTGCACTTTACGCTGCCTTCCCGGCATATCACTCTGCTGCTGGGGGGCAGGAACAACTACCTCTGCCCCCTGTAACTCAGCCTGCCGCTGGGGAGGGAGGATACTGCTCTCCTCTCCCTGCACTTTACACTGCCGCTGGGGAATGGAGACTGGGCTCCCAATTCCCAATAAATCACGCGGCCGCTGGGGAATGGAGACTGGGCTCCCAATTCCCTGCAGGACCGGTGGAGAGACCTCGGTCCCATCTCTACCGGCCACCTGGGGTTCTTCCCAGTAAAACTGTACCATCTCGTCCCCTCTGAATGGGTCTGGCTCTGGGTCTGTCATGCTGCTCTCCCGCTGCGCCTTCTCACTGTATTGGAACAGCTGCTGGTAGCCCTGTTCTAGCTCCATCTCCCGGGTTACCAGGTGGACCAGGTCTTGCTCAATTTCGTGAGTGTCGTCCCAGTCATACCTGCTCTCCCTCCACTCCAAGAGATCACTGAACCGGGCTTGTGTAGGGCTCCCAAATTCGAGCTCTGAAAATGACTCCCATAACAAGCCAGGACCATCAAACTCCTCTCCCTCTGGCTTGTCATGCTCGGCTGTCCAGGGTAGGTACTGTGCCCCATACCACCAGAGCGCCTGGTAGGCATCTTCCAGCCAAATCTCCTGCCATACCCGGTGCTCCAATTCCTTCACCCATTCATCCAGGGGCTGTTCTCCCAGGAAGGGCATCCGCAGGGCTACTCGCTTCTGCAACCGCTGGTCTTCCTTGGGGAGTCTCTTGCCCCGCTGGTACTCCACAATACCCAGTGCCTGGTACCAGATGCCTTTACGGACTGCATCTCGGTCATCCATGGCACCCTCGTCATACTCCACTGCTGGTTCCATGCTGGTGCTGTCAGGGTCGCTGTACTGGGACATGCGTTGCCCTCAAATTGTAAAATCCAAAGAAATGGTGTCTCCTGTAGCTGTCCTTCTGGTCTGTAGGAACGATCCCGCCGCTTGCCACCAATTGTAACGGACCGTTTTGCACACAAGGGGTAAAAACCGCTTAGACGATAATCCCCCTTTTAGAGACAGGCACAGCTACTGTAGAATCACCAAAACTCACGAACCGCCAATAAGTGAATGCTCCAAACTCCCGAACGGCATACAAGGGAATAAGGTAGCACTTCAAATAAACGAACAGGAACCATACGAATAGCTGCTAGCAGACGAACAGGAAAAGCTTCCCAGCGGCTTACACTCCTGGCAATCAGTCCTTAGCAGCATACAGTAAATCCCCCCAAAGACGAGACAAGGCTCCGTGTTGAGGGTCAAGCAGTGGTCTGAGGTGCTGGCACACCCAGCCTGGTTTTTATTACAGTCTTGCAAATACAGGACCGCCCACAGGGAGGTATAAAACAACCAATCACATCACAGTTACATCCCACATATTCCCTCCCCTTATCCTGAGAGGAAACTCAATTATACATACAGTTAAAACATACTTTCTACCCAACTTTCATAACTCTAAAACCATACATCACATTCACATAAAATTACATATGCACAATCAATCCATTCAGGGGAACAACATATTCAAAAATGGCACAAATCAGACAAGGGGTTCAAAAGTTAGTAAAAAGTCCTTTGTGACTAAATGAAGCATGGCTTTCTGGCCCAAACCAGTTTCAGAGTCTTCTATCCTGGAGATAAGTAATTCAATTATCTCCCAGGACAGACACAAGACTCCATTAAGCACATGGTTGCAAAAAGACACAAAACACTTTAAAATACATAAAGTCACATTTATTACATAAAACACAGACATGTAACATATCCCCAGATAGCTCAGGTCTGAGCGCACATTATTAAGTGAATGGCGCTCAGACCACACGAATACAGTTTAATCGCCATGGAGCCAAAGTCTCTACAGTCAGTTTCATACAAATGGGCTCCATGGGATTGCTATCTGGGGTATAACACATTCAAACAAATCTACTGAACCCCAGGCAGAAAAGCACGAATACAGCTTTTCTGCAGGCAAAAATAAAGTCTTTTAAAAGGGGGCCATAGTCCAAAGGCAGCAGGCGAGCAACCAGGCTTCTCCAATGCAATGTGGCGAGATTGGTCTCGTCACAATCGTCTATATAGCGCACCCAGGTGAATACAAACTGTACAAAGAGTGGATCAGAATACACAAATTCTTCTTCAAACGCTGCCATAAATAGATTGGCATATGTAGGGGCCACATTAGACCCCATCGCAGTGCACTGTATCTGTAAGTAAAACTTGCCTCCAAATGTAAAATAGTTCTTATGAAGTACCAGCGCTAATAATTCCAACAAGAAATCTTTATATGCCTCACTCATATCTAGTGTTTGCATAGCTGCAAACACTGCTTCAATACCCTCCTCATGTGGTATAGACGTATAAAGACTATTAATATCCATAGTGCACAAAAGCGCACCTTCAGGAATAACGCTAACACGCTCCAATTTCTTAATGAAATCTGTTGTATCCTGTACGAATGAACGCATGTTACAAACCAGAGGTTGCAAGTGTATGTCGACAAATTTTGATAGTGGCTGTAATACTGATCCACACCCTGATAGTATAGGACGACCTGGTGGGTGCCTCAAATTTTTGTGTATCTTAGGGAGCAGATAGATAAATGGGATTTTCGGGTAATCAGTATTCAAAAAATTAAAGTCCCTTTTCTCAATCAATCAATTTATTTTCCAAAGCAATCCCGGTTATTACCTTGATTTTCTCTTTCAACTCACCGGTAGGGTCTTGCTCCAAAATCCTATAATGACGATCACTAGTCAATTGGCGATCATTTTCTGCAACATATTCACTGGTATCCATCACTACTAGTGCTCCTCCCTAATCCGCTGGCCTTATTGAAATAGTAGTATAATTTTTCAATCCCATAAGTGTAGTATACTCTTGTCCACTTAAATTCAAATTCCCTTTCCTTTTCCAATTGATTTTGTCTATATCCATCTGACACAATTTGATAAATGTCTCCACAATGGGATTGATTGAAGGGGGGAGAAACATACTTTTAGGCTTACATTTTTGTCTATCAAATTTGGAAGATTCGGCCATTATAACCCCTTCCTGAGCTGCAGGGGTATCCTGTAAATGAAAGAAACTTTTTAAATGTATAGTCTGAAAAAAAGTTCCATCTCTATATCCATGGAGAGTTTATCACCACCAAAAGTAGGTACGAACCCAAATCCTTTCTCCAAAAGACTCACATGGGCCAGAGATAATACTTTACTGGAGATATTCACTACCAGTGTTTCCGCTGGTGACTCATGCGCCCTGGATACCTCCTCTTGGGATCGATCGCAGTTGGAGTCGACCTGTTCGTATCTCCTTGTCCTCTTGCCAAGTCTCCTCTTGGAGGTTCTCCTAAAAAAGCATTCTTTCCAGGTCCGGATTCCCCAGACGAAACTTCTGAGTCCAACACACTAGTATCAGAATTGTCCTTATTACGCCTTTGAAAATAACGTACAGGACGTGAATTCCGCCAAGTATATACTTTATCCTCCAAATAATCCATGGTATCCCTCCGAAATGTATCCAATTTTCTTTCTAGAATTTCTTCCCTATATTTCGGTAAATTAACTGATATAGTGGCAAGTTTCCCTTCCACTATTGTTTTATCCTCCACCTCTACCAATTTTTTCTTATTATCAGATAATATTCTTTCAATCTCAGACAGCTCCTGCTGTAAACCTTCTACTGTGAGCGTTATAAGATCCAAACTACATTTATTCATTATTTTATACCAATTCTTACAATACTCCTTATTAGACTTACAAAAACTAGGTCTAATATTCAATCTTAATCCCCGTGGAATCCTTATCACTCTTAAATACTCAACCAGAGTCTCAGAATGTAACGGATAGTTAATCAATTTCTTCTCAAGATACTCAACCCGCCTATATAATGACGTCTGATCAGTCACAAACACACTCTCCTGTAGCAATAATAGCATCCACCTCTGCCTGTGTATAGACCCGTGTTTCTGCCCTTTTGTCACTAATGCCACCAATGTCAGCAAAAGACATTATCTCTCAACATACACAAGGGACTCAATAGTCATATAATATACAAAGTACGGAGAGAATACTTAATATAATAATAGCCTAAATGGGCAGAAACGAGTCCAAAACCCCCCCCAATGTTTTGGCTCCCTCTGGTAGCCTTTATCAAGGGTATCTATATCAAAACACTCACCCTGAAACCCCTTATATACATATATGCATGTACTTACAGCTGATGGCCATCAGTAATAATGTGACTAACCGAGACCGGAAGTGACGTCATCACTTCCGACCACGGTCCCATTCACAAAATACAAAAATATACATAACTCCTAATACTTGTCTCACGATCATATTGGTAATCACTCCATGAGGGTTCCTCCATATATCATGACTAAACCATGAACTATTGCGAATAGATTATTAAAAATAAATTCTTAACCATAAATTCATGCCTATACGCATGCGCAATAGCCACTCGCCCCTTCGCCATATTATTTAATGGCAATCTGTCCACTGCCATATCCGCGCAAATTAGTAAATAAAATTAACAAAACCAGAATAATGGTTAATAAAAATGAAAAGGAAAAATAGTCGCTTTATCATGGAAATCCTCCGTACTAGTAGCTCGTCTTGCGAAAAACTACGGATACCCAAACGGTCCAAACCACTACATATCCCAACCGCGTCGAAACCCGCGCATGCGCAAGAAAGGGCGAACGCCAATCCAATCACATACAGCATATAAATTTTAAATAAATACAGTAGTAAAGAGATAACAATAAAACCTATACCAAATATAGGATCTATCATTCACAGAAAACACATATTTGTAACATAAAACATGCCTCCTTGTTATTTTAAAGAACCAAAATACAAATCCATTTGCATTATATTCGTAATCAAAATGAATTTTCCATTAATGTAGCATGAAACACCATTTATATACCTCTGAAATAATAATAAGAAATCCCATTTTATCCATATTGGTTTGAGCATCAAGCTTAGCTAATTCACTTAAATGTTAGCTTGTACACTCCAGATGCTTTACCAGCATTACGGCTGTATACTGCATACATCTATCAACTTTTTTTGTTATTTAAGAAATTAACATTGAAATTGAATGAAGACGTAATTAGAAATTCACACAACATAATTTAACTACTTTAATGACATAATAGATTTTAGATGTGATCTCCTAATGGGCATACTTTAAAACTGTATACTTTTTGTAATCTTTCAAAAGTAAAATTTTTCAACAAATTTGTGGTATTCCAAACTAATCAACTCTATTTTAGGAAGTAGAACAAAATAGCAATGAAACAAAAAAGCAGGTCTCAATTTAGTAATCTTTCTGTCCAATTATTTTGGAGGTTTCATTACTCATAAACCAGTTTAGAAACAGTTCAGAAATGGAAGACTGAATATTTTATCAAAAACTTATTAAATAAAAGGAAATTCCCCACATGCACCAATAAGCCACTATGTCTCACTTAATTATTTCATGAATGTACTGTAAGAAAACACATCTTTCAATGTGACTAGAATATTTTTACATTGAACTAAAAATAAAATAAAAACCCTGACAGTATGCTTAAAAATCAAAAATATATTTTGTCAATCAAAAATGCTTAATAAAATCAGAAGATTTTTTTTATTTATAATCACATGTATTTTGCTTATTATTTCTAAATAAACAGATTATGGAAAAATGTGCTTTAACCCCTTAAGGACACATGACATGTGTGACATGTCATGATTCCCTTTTATTCCTGAAGTTTGGTCCTTAATGGGTTAAGGACCAAACTTCTGGAATAAAAGGGAATCATGACATGTCACACATGTCATGTGTCCTTAAGGGATTGGTGTTTCTAGATAAAAGTATGTTAAATTATAATACATACTAGTCAGATACTGTAAAGCACACCCAAATGTTCCTCAAAGAACAAATATAAAGTTACAAGTTTTAACCGCAATTTTGTTTGTGATAAAAAATAAATCATCCAAATGACAACTATAGAACTTCTTTAAATACCTTAAACTTGATAAGAGGATGAATGGAACAATAATTTCAAAATAAATGTAAATATAAACAAAAATGAGAGACAATTTGTTAGGTTTTGTTTTTAACCCCTTAAGACCGAAGGGCATACTATTATGCCCTATTTTAGGTGGCTCTAAACTTTCTGTACTTACCCGGTCGCCAGCGATCGCGGTTGGGGGGACTCCCAGGGAGCCCCCCGCGGCACGTCCGACCCCCTGGCAGCCCCCCCCGGCCATGTGAGAGTGAGGTCCTTGTGAGGACCTCATAATCTCATGGCCGAGATAGCTGCCTCCTGCATTGCCAGCAATGCAATGTAATGACAGGTGGTCCCCTTGCTGGCTGGAAATAAAAATAAAAAAAGTTACATAAGTGTAAAAAAAAATAAATATATATATATATATATATATACTTAGATCATTATATATATATATATATATATATATATATATACACACACACACACACACACACATACACATATACATACACACATGTACACTGTATAGGTGTATTTTACTATTAATATATAATTATATATATATATATATATATATTAATATCAAATTACACGTAGACTGATACTGATTAAATATATATATAATTATTGTTATATATATATTTTTATATATAATAAAAAATATGTAAATACGTTAAAAAATAAAATAAAAAATAATTAAAAAATATATAGATGTGTTATTTCATTCTAACTGTATTGTGATAATATATATATATTTATATCAAAATACACGTAGAATGAAATAATATATATAAATATCTATATACATATATACGTATATATCACTATATATATACCTATATATAAATAAAAATATTTTTAAAAAATTATATATATATATATATATATATACATAAATATATATACATACACACATATATATTAACATACGTATATATATATATATATATATATATATATATACATATATTAATTCTACATATATATTTATGTAATAGTTTTACATAATTGGGTATTTTAATTAATTACAATTAGCGGGACCTGCCTGACAACCCATGCCGAAAGTAAAGGGAATTTAATTTGCTAGCACTATATTTAACCCTATAACTTTCCAAGACACCATAAAACCTGTACATGGGGGGTACTGTTCTACTCGGTGGACTTCGCTGAATACAAATATTAGTGTTTCAAAATAGTAAAATGTATTACAACGATGATATCGCCATTAAAAGTGAAGTTTTTTGCATTTTTCATACACAAACAGCACTTACACGGATGATATGATTGCTGCGATACTTTTTACTGTTTTGAAACACAAATATTTGTGTTCAGCGAAGTCTCCCGAGTACAACAGTACCCCTCATGTACAGGTTTTGTGGTGTTTTCAAAAGTTACAGCGTCAAATATAAGGCTTGTGTTTCATTTTTTTAACATTAAAATTTGCCAGATTGGGTACGTTGCCTTTGAGAGCGTATGGTAGCCCAGGAATGAGAATTACCCCCATGATGGCATACCATTTGTAAAAGAAGACAACCCAAATTATTGCAAATGGGGTATGTCCAGTCTTTTTTAGTAGCCACTTAGTCACAAACACTGGCCAAAATTAGCATTCAATTTAGTTTTTTACTTTTTTCACACACAAACAAATATGAATGCTAACTTTGGCCAGTGTTTTCGACTAAGTGGCTATTAAAAAAGACTGGACATACCCCATATTGAATACCCTGGGTTGTCTACTTTAAAAAAATATGTAAATGTGGGTGTTATTCAGAGATTTATGACAGATAATAGTGTTACAATGTCACTATTGATAAATTTTAAAAATGTATGTTTTGAAACCGCAATATCCTACTTGTACCTATAGCCCTATAACCTGCAAAAAAAGCATGTAAACACAGGGTATTTTTAAACTCAGGACAAAATTTTGAATCTATTTAGCAGTTTTTTTTCCCATTCGCTTTTGTAGATGAGTAAAATATTTTTTTCAATTAAATTACATGTGATTATATAAATAATGGTATGTAAAGAAAGCCCCTTTTGTCCTGAAAAAAAACAATATATAATTTGTATGGGAACAGTAAATGAGAGAGCGGAAAATTACAGCTAAACACAACTACCACAAAAGTGTAAAAAGAGGCCTGGTCGCAAATGTACAACATCGCAAAAACAGTCCAGTCCTTAAGGGGTTAATATATGAAAAACAAAATAAATAAGAACTTCAAATAAGAGAATTGCATTTTGTACCTCATAGGTTTTGTAAAATATGCAATAGACCTTATAGCACTGTTTTTGGCTATAGTTTCAATTTAATAAGATTTTAAGAGTTCTAAACCTCCCATCTCTTTAAACTCTACGAATATTAATGTATCTCTTTTTGCATAATTGAAAATGAGTGACATGAAAGAAAATGACAGTTGACTAAAAAGTAAATAGGTTCACACTGACATCTTATGCAAATAGATATCCAGAGATCAAAGAAGATCAAAAAGCATAGGTTCACATGTCTTCATTGAGGCTAGCTTTGATCCCCAAAACACACCTTGTAAATTTGCCAAAGAGATAAAATAGTTCAAGACAATGGAACTACCAGGGGTAGTCAACCTGGTCTCTACCGCCCACTAGTGGGCAGTTTGGGATTTCAGGTGGGCTGTGATGGGTTCTACAAATGTATCTCTTTTTGCATAATTGAATGGTATGTCATGATTTAGAAAAACTAGACAGAGAAGAAACCCAGAGGGGTAATAAATATAATATGAGCAAGGAGGAAGTGGCCAGCATAACCAAACTACAAAAAATGGATAATATAATCATAAAAGAAGCAGACAAGGGTGGAGCCATAGTAATTATGACTAAAGAATATTATGTAAATGAAGCCTTTAACATTTTGGGGGAGAGAAATACATATATTAAACTCACTGAGGATCCAACTAAAAGGTTTAATATTATTCTTAAATCCTTTTTAAACCAAGCATACGAGAAAGGTATTATTTCCAGAGATAATAAGGAATATTTATTTAATAATTTTCCCGTAATTCCAATATTCTATTTTTTGCCCAAACTACATAAGAATCCAGTAACACCACCCGGAAGACCTATTATTAGCGGTATTAATTCTATATCCGCTCATTTATCAGCGTTTGTAGATCATAACCTTCAGAAATACGCTCAGGAAGCACCCTCTTATTTAAAGGATACATCGCATATCTTAAAAATAATGGAAGATATCACTTGGAAAAAAGATTTTATTTGGGTGACTATAGATGTTGCCTCATTATACACAATTATCAAACATAATAAAGGTTTAAATGCAGTGGAAAGATTTATGGTGGAGGATGAAAATGTTTCAGTAGACCTTCGTGAATTTATACTTAAGAGCATTCACTTTATTTTGAAGCATAATTACTTCTTCTTTGATGATTCTTTTTATCTCCAAATTACCGGAACAGCAATGGGGACCAGGTTCGCCCCCAGCTATGCCAACATATACATGCGCGATTGGGAATCCAATCACGTATGGAGGGGGCATGGCTGGGCTGCGAACCTGGTCCTATGGAAACGTTTTATCGATGATGTAATAATGATTTAGCAGGGTTCATGAGAAGAACTACAACTTTTCCTTAATTACATAAGTCTAAATGATTATGGATTAAAATTCACTTATGAGATAGAGGTCAAAACAATTAATTTTTTGGATATATGTTTTTTTGTAGAAGATCAAACTATTCAGTCCAAATGTTATTTTAAAAAAACAGAAGGAAACAGCTATATACATAGGAAAAGCTGCCATCAGGAAAAATGGTTGAAGTCTATCCCAAGAGGGCAATTTATGAGAGTAAGGCGAAATTGTTCTAAAGATCTAGATTATCAGGAACAGGCCAAACATCTAAAAAATAAATTTATATCAAAAAAATATGAACCAATATTGGCGAGATAGGAAGAAGCTAATGACATCTAAACCAAAAAAGGCCATTAAAAATAATTACCAGTACTCATTTGTTACACAATATAACATCAACCATTGGAGAATAAGAAAGATTCTAAATAGACATTGGGATATTTTACGCAAAGATCCAATATTGGGAAAAATATTACCAGAAAAGGCACCAATTATTTTTAGAAAAACAAAAAATCGAAAGAATGTACTGGCCCCAAGTTATGCTTTAAAGGTTCAGCGAAAAAAGAATGAAACAAATCAAAAGAGTTTCAATCCGTGTAACTCATGCAAAGCTTGTAAGAATCAAAGATTTATAAAGAAAAAGGAATTTAATAATACAGTTACAAAAGAAAAATTCAAAATGAAATCCAACATAAATTGTAACACTAAAAATGTAATGTACATGTTACAATGCCCATGCGGGAAACAGTATGTAGGCAGAACGTGCAGGAAATTAAAAGAAAGAATATTAGAACATCAGAATAATATCCGAAAAAAATCAACCAAACATATTGTTCCAATCTATTGTAACAACTGCAGCAGGTTCAGCTGGTCAGATTTTTCCTTCATGGGCATTGAACATGTTGAACCCTATTGGAGAGGGGGCAATCTTGCCAAGAGACTCTCACAGAGAGAGACTTTTTGGATTAATAAATTAAAAACTTTGCAGCCTTATGGGTTAAATTTAGATATAGATTTGTGGAGCTTTTTTGAAGAATAAAAAAATCTTTTTGTGTATCTTCTTTTCTATACCTCTTTCTGTAGATATTGTAAATATTGCATTTTTTTCTATGGCTAATAAGATTACAATAGGATCTCTTAAGTAGATCCAGGTTGCTAACTCTATTTACAAAAATTAATATACATTTCAAATTTGATATTAAAAAAAAAAAACTTTTAGGGTTTAATAAATTTAAAAAATTGAATTTATAATAAGCAAATTGCTCAGAATCTTTAAATTAATGAATGGCATTTTTTTGAAGTTGGAAGAAATTGTGGAGGCAAGTTGTAAAAAACTGCCTCCCTCTCCCTTATATGAAAATCAAATAAACACACAATATGATTTATAATGTTATAACTATATAGAGTGGAGAAAGTATTGCTTCTAATATAGTTCTTGCAAAAACCACTCACATGGTTTAAAAAAAAAAAAAAAAAGCAATGGGAAGAATGCAATATACATTTGGGTATTGCACCTCTGTTCACTTTCTGAATATTTGTGCTCTTGAAAGAAAATTGTAATTTTATATATATTTTTATATATAATATTTTGTATATAATTTTTTATATGTATTTTTTCATATATATTTTTTGTATTCATTATTTTTTTATATGTATGCACTTTATTAATATAGGTAATGAGAATGATGATAATTCATTTTTATCTTTAAGTATTACATTTGTTTGATGCAGAGTGAAATATTTACTACCCCTTCCTCTTATTCCCTGTTTCCACCAAACTATAATTATATGCCTGGCTGAGATCGAGCAGTGAGCAATAAGACAGAAACCCTCAACTAACTTCCGGGTTTCGGCAAAGGAACGCATGCTGGAATGCACGGGTCATCGGACGCCGGACGTGATGACGTCATAATACCGGAAAATCAGTCCGGAGCACAGAAAAGAAACACCTGCAAAAGATCACGCATTATGTGGACACTGAAGGGAAAACACCTGCAAAAGATCACTCATTATGTGGACACTGAAGGGATATATAAGAACTGGGGAGGGAGGGAAATTTTTATTGTTCATTGTTTATTTGTACCTGTTGATCACACACCATACAAGTCCCTGAGGAAGTCCTATTTGGTTGGATGAAACGCGTAGGACCCCTGGTGGTGACAGAGGGACTACACTGATGATTTTATATTTTGATGTAAGTTATTAAATATTTTTTTGTACTTCACTCTGAATGTGCATCTTATATTCTTTTATATACTTTTCTTTCCTGAGCACATACATGCCAATATATCTATGGAGATTTTAACCCAGACAGAGGATTTGGAATTCCTATTTTGAAAAAGAAAATATTCAAGGCTTGCAAACTTCAGCAAAAGCGTAAGTGGCCATTTGTGAATATAACTTCTACAATTTGTCATCATACACTGTTATACGCTATGTTGTTTTATTTATGATTGGTTCAGCAGATCATCCCCCTTTTTTTGCTTAAAATGAATGTCACTACTGGACCACCAGGGCTTGAAGCACCATGTGCCCCCTCCCTGGTAAAAGGTAAGAAGAAATGAGGGGGAGACATTAAGATAGATTTTCACATCTCACCCACCTACACACAGTATAGACCCTATGCACCCCTCACCTCTCTCACACACACACACACAGACTGCCCCTTCACACACACACACACATCACCTCTAACATACTCTGCACTCCTCACAAACACCCACACTACCCCCCCCACATACATATGCTTCATCACTTACACTCTCTATACCCCTCACACACTGCCATCCACACATAAATGTAAGTATATATTTAAAAAATAAAATAACCTCCTTTCTAAAAGAAAAAAATTTGCGCTATAAAATTTGTTTCTCCAGCACTTGTGGGCCGTAAGGAAATTTTACCATCAGCAAAGATACAAAAGTGGGTGGTAGGTATTAAAAGGTTGACTACCCCTGCTCTAGAGACTCTGGAGCAGCTGTCATGGATATTGATATCCCAATTTATGAAAGTTTATCAAATTTTCACCTTTTAACAATGGTAAAATTGGTTATGGATTTTATATATATGAAAATTAAAATAAATAAGAACTTTAAATATTAGAATTGCATTTTGTACCTCACAGATATTGTAAAACATGCAATAGACCTTCATAGTACTAGTTTTTGACCATGGTTTCAATTGAAAGAGTTTAAAAAGATGTGAGATTTAGATCTCTTTACATTTCAAAGTATATAATATTATAATCATTATTGCATAACTGAAAAAGAGTCACATGAAGGAAGTTGACAGTTGGCTAAAAAGAGTATTCAAATAAAAAATGATATAGTGTTGCTATTTTGGTTCACACTTACCTATTATGTAAATGGCTATCCAGCTGAGATCAAAGAAGATCAAAAAGCATAGGTGTTCACATATCTTCATTGAGGCTAGCTTTGATCCCCAAAAACACACCTTGGACATTTGCCAAAGAGATAAAATAGTTCAAGCAGCTGTCATGGATATTGATATCCCAATTTATGAAAGTTTATCAAGTTTTTACCTTTCAACAGTGGTAAAATTGGTAAGGATATATATTTTTATTTATTAATATGAAAATTAAAATAAATAAGAACTTTAAGTATTAGAATTGCATTTTGAACCTTACAGATATTGTAAAACATGCAATTAGACCTTTATATTACTGGTTTTTGACCACAGTTTCAATTGAAAGTTCGAAATGTAAAGAGTTCTAAATCTCACATCTCTCTAAACTCTTTCAATTGAAACTGTGGTAAAAGACCAGTACTATGAAGGTCTATAGCATGTTTTTCAGTATCTGTGAGATACAAAATGCAATTCTAATATTTAAAGTTCTTATTTATTTTAATTTTCATATATATAAAAAAAAATCCTTACCAATTTTACCACTGATGAAAGGTACAAATTTGATAAACTTTCATAAATTGGGATATCAATATCCATGACAGCTGCTCCAGAGGAATGAAGAGTTCCACTGTCTTGAACTAGTTATCTCTTTGGCAAATTTCCAAGGTGTGTTTTTGGGGATCAAAGCTAGCCTCAATGAAGATATGTGAACACCTATGCTTTTTTGATCTCCTTTGATCTCAGCTGGATAGCCATTTACATAATAGGTAAGTGTGAACCAAAATAGGAACACTATATCATTTTTTATTTGAATACTCTTTTTAGCCAACTGTCAACTTCCTTCATGTGACTCTTTTTCAGTTATGCAATAATGATTATATTATTATATACTTTGAAATGTAAAGAGTTCTAAATCTTACATCTCTTTAAAGAGTCACACGAAGGAAGTTGACAATTGGCTAAAAAGAGTATTCAAATAAAAAATGATATAGTGTTCCTATTTTGATTCATACTTACCTATTATGTAAATGGATATCCAGCTGAGATCAAAGGAGATCAAAAAGCAAAGGTGTTTACATATGTTCATTGAGGCTAGCTTTGATCCCCAAAACACACCTTGGACATTTCAGTCATTTGCAGAATGTATAAAATGGTTGAAGGCAGTGGACCTCTTCATTCCACTAGAGACTCTGGAGCAGCCTGTCATGGATATTGATGTTGAGCTGAACCAAATCCTGACAACTGTTCTCTCCCTAGAAGAAGACTATCCTTTGCCACAGAATGAATACAAAAATGATGGCTTCACTTGTATTCTTGGGGAATTACCAGATATTTTTCAATCAGTGCAAAGTCGACTACCTCCTTTCTACTCAGGGCTTCTACAACAGAATCATGTGGATCCCTGCTCATTATTGAGAATCTCACATGAGACTAAGACAAACCAAACTCTGGATCCTAAGAACCCAGATGATTATATAAACAAATCGCAAGGGACATACAAGGGCATCAAAAGTAAGTTAATACAATTGGCTATATATAATATACATAACAAATTATAAAAATATTTTAGTGTTTATAAATTCTTTGGTAGGAGGGTTAGAAAAATAAAAATTTATTTATGTGTGTCTGGAAAAATAATTATTCAGTTTAAGTTTGTAATTTATTAACCTTATTAATTTGATGGGTACTTTGAAGCATTAAAATATAATTTGTTTATTGTATAAACAACTTAATTTTTTTTAATTCCTGAATTAAAATGTAAAGTTTTAGATTTTTTTTCCTTTAGGAAATTGTTTAAAACCAAACACATATTTAAATCCCTCAACTATATAAATATATATTTTTAAAAAAGTTTTGAAATTGTCAAGTATTTTAAATTTCATATCTCAGTTTGAAAAATAACGGCATTACTTCTATGTCAAACAACTTGTTATAGCTCAGTGTTTGTTAGTTCTGGAAACCTGTTTTGCTTAGACCATCTGTGTCTTCTAACCTAATAATTCTATGCAATTATAGATTTATTTTATTTGCTTCATCTATTCAGGGCCATTTCATGCAGAGCAGACAGAAGGATGTAAAAGACAGAGGTGCATGAATGATATTTATTTGCCAACGGCTTCAAACAGCAGAACGGTGAAAAGAACACAGTTCAGCATGGAACAGACTGAATACTTGCTAAATCAGTTTGAACTGGATCCTTATCCAGACTTTGTAAAAAGATGTCGAATTGCAAATCTAGCCGGAATCCCTGAACCAAGGATACAGGTAATAAGTTAATTTAAGTGTAATTTTATATTTGCCTACATTGTTTGTTACTTTATATCTAGTCACAGTTTAAAACATGCAAATTATATTCAACTCCTTCCCTTCCAATCACATACATACACATCTTAAAGGGATACTATAGTGCCAGGAATACAAAACTGTATTCCTGGCACTATCGCTTCCCCTGCCCAGGTGAATAAAGGGTTAAAAACACATTATTTGCTTACCTGATCCCAGCGCTGATGTCCCTCATTGCTGGGTCAAAGCTCTGCCTCCTCCGACAGTCCCACGACAAGCAGGGTCTAATGAGCATGCACGGCAAATGCCGCACGTGCATTAGACCTCCCCATAGGACACTTTTCTATGGGGAATAATCTGACGCTGGAGGTTTTCATGCAGAGCAATTCAATTCAGTAGACAGCCGCCGTGGGCAGACTTAGAGCTGCAATGTAAACAATGCAGATGCTCAAGTACTGCAATATTTTACATTGCAGCACTTAGTGCAAAAGGGACAGTGCACACAGACCACTTCAATGAGATGAAGTGGTCTGGGTGCCTACAGTGTCCCTTTAAAACACATGCAAAATTAGATTTGTCTACAAAGCCCCACTTACCCCTCCCCCCCAACATTTGTTTTTACAATTCACATAGATCCCAGGAAGGGAGATTCATTAATTTGCCCATCTTTTTAGCTGTATCTCTGAAAATGGCCTCTAACTCCCATTCTACAGGAGTGTTAGACCACTAGACCAATACTAAGTTTAACCTGCAGAGTGAGAGTGTGTGAATTCCGAACAAACACAAGAGTTATTTAATAAAGGGCAAGTTGTTGGGTATTAAAAATTAAAGTGACACTCCAGCAAATTTAACCTGCTCACGTGCTCTGTGTTTAGAGTGTCACCTCTTATTAAAATTTTACAAAAAGCAGATTCCAATAGAAATTTCAACTTTTATTAAATCGTGCTACACCACACTGGCTGTGAGACAGTATGTCCTGTTACTTTATTCAAGAGGCAGGAATCTGTCAAAGCACCTACCTTGCAAAGACCTCTCATTGAGTAGCATGGGAATGTCTGTAATAAGACAGCCATAGAAAGTCTGGGCTGGGTCAGAGCAGAGCTTGCACAGAAATTTGTAGCTCTTGCATAATGTTTTTAGATATACTTCCAATTAACAAAAATCATAATTAAATACATAATGGTTTCATTGGGGATATAATGTATCTACTAAACAGGATTTTTTTGTTTTATTATATTGGGCAGTGAAGTGTCTGTTCAAAGTGAATTTCAAAGTTAATACTAAAATAGTTTTAGTTGGAAATAGCTAATTTTTCTTTTTAGACCTTTTTGTGGTATAAAAGACGCTGAATTCAGAACGCACAATACAAAAGAATGTTTTCTTATAGACAGACTTGTTTGTCCCGTAGGTTCTAATCTGCTATGGATGTTTTAAGCATTACAATAGTAAAGTTGTTTTGGTAATGATTACAAAAAAATATGCCATATACCGAATTATTATATAAAATGTGCTAAAACTTGTCATTTTTTACAGGTTTGGTTTCAAAATAGAAGAGCAAGACATCTCATGGAACCAAGAACTACTAGAAGCAACCTTGAAAGTCATTGAACATTATTTGTTTGTTGTTTTTGTTCCCAAACATTTATGACGTCATCTGCTTTATCAGCACTTAAGGATAATATCATCACTTAATTATGGCATCTTATATGATAGTATTTAACAATATGATTTTTCCACTGTCCACTTCTAATTTCAAGTTAATTTATTTTTATTTAGTTATGAATTTTCACAATGTTTTTATTTTGGATTATAATGGATTTGATTGTGTTTTGCCCTTGTTTATTTTTTTAAATACTTTATATTTATTGGTTTTAATGAGTCAATGTAATTCAAGAACACTTATGTGATTCTCTAAACATGTTGTATAACATACCTGCTTGTGAAATAAATGTGATATTTTAAAGATGGGGTCTAAACAATTTTTTTTCCTCTCATGACTTTAAATAAGCACTTTAACCCCTTAAGGACTGTGCCAAATGTACACGTTGTGATCAAAACTTAAGCAAAACCTGGCATCTGTGCTATATGTCTGTTCAGACGTAATTCACCTCTTTCATTTTAAATGTACCCACACTTAATATTTATCATTTTGTTCAGGAGAAACAGGCCTTTCATGTCACATCAAATATTTATACATTATACATAATTTAATATGAATAAAATGTAAAATATTTGAAAAATAAAGATTTTTTTTTTTATTTCTTTAGTACTACATGGCATTTTAACTGTGAATGTCATAATACTGTTAGCTGTTACTGCAATAAAATGCACATATTTTTATTCAGTGAAGTCTCACAAGTAAAATAGTATCCCCCCCAAGTACAGGTTTTAGTAGTGTTTTGGAAAGATACAGGGTCAAATTTAGAACATTACATTAGTTTAGTTTATACACATTGAAATTTGCCAGACTGGTTATGTTGCCTTTGAGAGCGTATGGTAGCACAGGAATGTGAATTACCCCCATGATAGTATATCATTTGCAAAAGTAGACAACCCAAGGTATTGCAAATGGGGTATGTCCAGTCTTTTTTAGTAGCCACTTAGTCACAAACACTGGCCAAAATTATCTTTCAATTTTTTTTTTTTTTGCATTTTTCAAGTGGCTACTAAAAAAGACCGGACACACCCTATTTGCAATACATTGGGTTGTCTACTTTTGCAAATGGTATGCCATCATGGGGGTAATTCTCATTCCTGGGTTATCGTACACTCTCAACAGCAACATAACCAATGTGAAAAAATGGAAATGCAAGTCTTATATTACACTCTGTCACATTTTTTTTAAAACACCATAAGACCTGTACATGGGGGGTACTGTTATACTCGAGAGACTTCGCTGAACACAAATATTAGTGTTTCAAAACATTACAACTTATCAAAACAATTAAATCAACAGTGAAAGTGCCGTTTGTGTGTGAAAAATGCAAAAAACTGCACTTTCACAGACAACATCATGGTTGAGATGTTTTACGGTTTTGAAACACTAATATTTGTGTTTAGTGAAGTCTCCACAGTAAAACAGTACCAGCTTTTGTACAGGTTTTATGGTGTCTTGGAAAGTTGCAGGGTAAAATATAGGGCTTGCAAATCATATTCTCTGTACTTTCTGCCTGCGTTGTCAGGCAAGTCCCTCAAATTGTAATTAATGAAATGACTTAATCATGTAAAAATATTATATAAATATATATATATATATATATATATATATATACACATATATACACACACACACACACACGTATTTATAACTTCATTCTAAATGTATTTTGATTTAAATATATATGTATATTAATATAAAAATACAGTTTGAGCGAAAGTATACAGGTATATAATTTTTTTACATTTTATTTTATTTTTTTATTTTATTCGATTTTCTTAATGATTATTTTTATATTTTATATATATATATATATATATATATATATATATATTTAATGTCATTGTAAATGTATTTTAATATTAATATATTAAAAACCAAAGAAAAACAAGTTTCTTAATCCCTATGTATTTTTAAACAAATGGAGGTTTTTTAGTTACCTCCAATGGCCATGAGAGGATAAGCCCACCTGCCAACATCAAGGCAGACCCCCAGGTGGGTCCTAACTCTAACCATTCACCTTGCTACCTTGAGCTTCTGGCAAAGATCTCTAATGAGACAAAAAATATTAAAATACACTTAGAATAATAGTTTGGGTCTCTATATGCATATAAAAGTACTTATATCATATACATATATGCATTATATACATATATGCATTATATATATATATATATATATATATATATATATTTCCTGGCCATATCCATGGCAGCACAATGATGGGTAGCTCCTCCCTATCCCTAATTAGACAGGAACTAATTAAAAAAAATGTATAAGTACCTCCTATCCCCTCCTCCCTAAGTCTTTTTGTTCCTGTCCTATCCCTGTAGGACATGTGTTTTTTCCTTGGAACTATTATTTTTCTTTTATGGCTTTCCTGGGGATTTGTTCCCCTAGCCCCTTGGGAAGTCTCCAGTTACGCGGCCCTACTCAAGGGTCCAGGGACCCCCTGGTGACCCCCTTTAGTGACCGGGGGTCTGGAACTTGCTCTAACCCAAGGGGTAGCAAGCTATTATACCTGGTTTCCTAATGCTGCAGTGACCCTTGGGGCAGCAGTGGGCAGGTGAATATGGACCTGGACATGTACCTTGCTGGTCTGGACTTCTCCCTGTTTCCAGCTTCCCTCTGCCTTTCCCGCTGTCCTTCTGAAGGGGTAAGTCCCTGTGTTTTCTTTCATTTTTGCTTAGCGTTCATTTTTTTGAATGCACATGCGTTCATATGGTTTGCTGATTGGTTTTGTGTCCGTTCGTGCTTTTAGCCATTCGCTTGAATTTTTGCTGTTCGCATGAATTCTGGTGAACGTTCGTTTGTTCACACTAATGGTTCGTTCGCCTGATTCATTGGTTCACACACTCGTGGGAATTGTTCTGGCGAATGCTGCATTGCTTCCTCCTATCTCCTGCTTGATTTTCATTTCGTCTGCTTTTCATTAAGGTAAATGTCTTTTTATTTTTTAAAGTGGTATCTTTCAATTTGTTCTGAATTTCAATCTGAGATTCTTTCTTGCATTTGGTTTTGCAGATGGATATGGAAGTCTCAGATTCCTCTAATTCTGATTCTTCCCCACCAAACAAAAGGTCACAACCTAAGTCTTATAGGTAAGCCATGTTTTTTTCTAGTTTGTTTTCTCTAACATTTAAAAAGAGTGCAGATCACTGATACACTGTTCTGTCCCTGTTTCTGCAGTTCTAAGGGGACTAGAGCTTCAGTGTCGTCCAAAGGGAAGTCGCCCGAAAGTACGCAATGTGAATCCTGTGATAACAGAGCCCTGGAGGAAAAATGTCTCAAAGGCAGTCCTCCATCCAACCTGCACCTGACATATTGCTGTATATTTCACAAGCAGTCACTCGGGGCATTCAGGAAGCTGGGAAGTCCCGCAAGGGACCAAGGTGTTTGGAACCTTCTGAGTGTTCTCCAGATGTCTCTGATGTGGAGTGTATGTCTATGGAATCCCTGGGAGATCTGGGTTCTTCTTCTGAGGATGTGGTGCTTTCAGCTCCAGATTTCCTGGAACCTGCTGAAATTGACCATTTGATACACAGGGTCCGCAAGACTGAGTTTGAAGTAACCTTTAGGATGAGCCTTCCACATCCAGTCGCCACTTCTCTGACCTTAGGAGGAAGAGGGTGACTTTTCCAGTCCATGTGACTATAAAAGAACTCACCAAAGAGGAATGGTCCAGATCGGACTTAAAATCGTCTGCAAAAGGAAAATTTTCCAGACTGTATCCTTTTGAGGACACTGACGCTGAAACATGGGATTCCGCTCCCAAGGTAGATGCAGCCGTGGTTAGATTGGCCAAACGTACCACTTTACCTGTTGATAATGCAGGCTTCTTCGAAGACCCTAAGGACAGAAAGATGGACTTCAATCTTTACATAGCACATGGGGCTTCAGGTACTGGCCTGCACCCAGCAGTAGATGGAGAATTTGGAGGAGGATATTAAGAATGGCAGGAGCCGTCCCTCCATACTGGACAGCCTGAAATATTTGAAATTGGCTGTTGACTTCTCATCTGAGGCTGCGGTGGATCTGGTGAGGTCCTTAGCAGGAAATATGGCTCTCTCAGTTTCGGCCAGGAGAGCGCCATGGCTCAGATCATGGTCTGCTGATACTTCCTCCAAAGGCAGCTTGTGCTCTCTTCCTTTTCATGGCGACATGTTATTCGGCAAGAATCTGGATGATTGTATTAAACGAGCAGCCGAAGGTAAAAAGGGCTTTCTGCGTCAAGACAGCAGGCCCAAAGGTTCTTATCGTGCGAAAAGGGATTATTACCCGTTTTGTGATAGCAGATCCTACAGACCGGGTAAGGAATATGGGACAAATCAATCCTGGAGGAGCTGTCACCATGGTGCTAGAGGCGGCAAGTCCCGAGGTTCTGTACCCTCCAAGAACCCCAGGAATCTGTGATGGGCTCATCTCCCTGTCAGGCGATGTTGGAGCTCGCTTGCTCAAATTCCGTGTGGCATGGGAGGGATTCGTAAGCAACAACCGGGTTCTGGATATTATCAGAAGGGGATATCTTCTAGTATGTTGCACACACCCTCCTTCCAGTTCCTTCCAAGTCGCAAGGTGGCCGGGAGACAAAGGCCTGCTCTTCAGGTCTTCATTTCTTCTCTACAAGAAGGAGTCATTGTACCAGTCCCGGAGTCAGAAAGGACTGATGGCTTCTATTAACATCTATTTCTGACTGAAAAGTCCTTGGGAGGGTGGAAACCCACCCTAAATTTACACAGACTGAATCGATACTTGCATATCCACAGATTCAAGATGGAGTAACTTTAATCTATAGTGAAGGCTGTCTTTCCCAATCAGTGGATGTTATCAATAAACTTGTTGATTGCCTATTTCCACATCTCTATAGCCCTAGCACTTTAGAAATACTTTCACGAAAGCGCTGCTTGTTCTCATCGCAGAACTGAGAAAACAGGGCATTTCCATCTTCCAT